GCTGTCCCCCAGGTCAGCATTGCACTGGGTGGTGGAGACAACCCACAGTGCCCAGGCTGGATTTTCAGAACTGGTGGCTATTTCTTTTTTCTTTCTTTTTTTTTCAACTGAAAATATTTCTCTGAGATTTCTTCAGGCCTTTGGCCCTACCCAAAACCATAGAGCCAAAGACCATAGAAAGCCTTCCTCTCCCCCTGCTTGTTTTTCTGCTTGTGAGGTAAGATCATCCTTAACAGATGTTTGTTTACCTCTTCATAAAAACCTCCTGTGATTCTGCAGCCTCCCCAAGCAGTGTGCTGCCGTGCTTTGCTATTCTTGCCATAGCAAAGTGTTTTTCTAATGTGTAGCTATATCATTTTTATTGCAAATTAAGCTGATTATTTCCTCTTCTACTTTTGGTGAATGTAGGGGACAATTGTTTAGTCTCTCCACCCATTATAACAAATGTTTATGTGCTGGAAGACTGTTATCATGCCACCCCTCCTGTTGTTCTTTTCCTAGAGAAAACAAACTCAATTATTTTATCCATTCCTTATAAGCCATGGGGTTTTTTTCACCTCTCTTATTCATTTTGCTGCTCTGATTTGGACTTTCTCCAACTTGTCTGCATCTCCTGTAAAATGTAGTGCCTGGGAGTGGACGCACTCAGCAGTATCAAGTAAATGCACAAAATAATTGCTTCTGTTGCCTTATGCACAAAATCCGCATTAAAGCACCTCAGAATGAGATTTATCCTCTTCTGTGGGGATCTCACTTAACAGACACACATTGGGTCCCACCCCAGCTCTCTCTGCTGGACCAGTCACAATTTAGTTGGGAGCAGCACACCTGGTGTCTCTGCAGCCACTTTTCCTGAACTGGATCTTGGTGCAGTCACCTTTCCTGAGCTGGATCTTGGTGCAGTCACCTTTCCTGAGCTGGATCTTGGTGCAGTCACCTCTGCAGAGGCAGCCCAGCTCCCCACTGTCTCACATTCCTCTCAAATTCCAATCACTTCAGCCTCCTGCCTTCAGGAGGGACTGCTGACCCCCAGCCCAGCTGTCATCCTCTTCGTTTTGTCCTCTAGTCTGTTTTCCAAGACACTCAAGGAAATACTGAACAGCCCTGAAGGCAGAACTTCAGGGACACAATCCTCTCAGCTGGAAAAGTGAAGCCCTGATAATTACCCTTGATTATAGTACTTCAACCTGTGTACCCTCTGCACAGTGACTTTGCTTGCTGCCCTGGGAGCTTGTAATCTAGATATTTTCTAAGTGTTCACTGAAGTTAAAGTATTTTACACCTACCATTTCCTCCTCATCTACCAGGCCTGTTAGTCAAAGAAGAAAATTAGCTTGGTTTGACATGATTTGTTCTTCCAAATTCCCTGCTGGTAGTTTCTTATCAGCATATTGTCCTTTAGCTGCTTATAAATTGATTGTTTCATAATTGGTTCCAGTATCTCTCTAGGTATCACAGTTAGGCTGACTGGCCTGTAATTCCCCAGGTCCTCCTAGAACAGTAATTTTCAGAGAAGAATTGCATTTAACAGATATTGAAAGACATTCCACTTTTGCCCTGCTTATCTTTATTAATTGTCTAGCTTGGTTCCATCCCCTAAATTAAAAACATGTTTCCCATAAGTATTCATCCTCCACTCAGGCTCAGCATAACCCGGCCCTATCTTCACCTCTTCTGTGTTACTGCCTTCCTGTTATATACTTTCCCAATTTTCTTCCTACTTGATGCTTTATATCTTCCTCCCTCTCTTTTCTTTATGGTTTGCTTGCAGCTCCATAGCAAAACATATTCCCCAGCAATTCATATCCAATGGTGCCTGAAGAGAAAAATCTGGGAGCCTGGCCCTAAAATGTAGGCAGTGACATTTGCCAGGCTTGTAGGGGCATAGTAAGGTCTGCTTAGAGATTTGTCCAGGGCTGGCTACACTCAGATGATTTCTGGGACCAGTAGGTGGCAGAGAGATGATAAAATCTGGGAGCCTGATCGCGGTGATCAGAGGACAGATCACTCTGGCTCTGGGATGGACAAGGACATGTGTTACTAGAGAGCTGGGTGAAACTCCCAGCTTCTTGTAGGGAGGCTGAATGTTCCCAGTGTTCAGCCTCAGCCAGGAGTGAGAGGTTTGTGTGCTCAGCAGAAGAACAGGAAGCGTGTGCCACTTCCTAGCTAAGCAGATCCCCAGAGGATAACTTTGTTTGAGGGAGGGGTATCGTTATGCAGGGTTGTGCGCTATATAATCGCACAATCTGCCATCATGCATGAACAGAGCTGTTCAATAGCATGGCCCTGCCTTGTCCTGACATCATGTCTGTGCTGGAAATCCGTTTGGAATGAAAAATCCCACATTCCCCAAGTGACCTCGTAGTCTCTGAGCGAAAGGCTGAGTTGCAGTGGAGACTTCACAGACTCAGTGGTGCCAGGGACAGAAGCTCACCAGCCTCAAAGCAGCTCAAGGTTGAGAAGTCAGCAATGAAGTAAACTTCTTTCCAAAGAAAATAGTATTTTAAAATAGTATTTTAAAAGTGCAGGAGATGCCCATGATTCTTTGAAGGCAAGAAAAGTCCCAAAGGCAAGGAAAATCCACTGTGAGAGTTAACAGTGTTTAACAGAAGTAAGTTTCACTAGCTGCTACTATTTTTAGCACTGGTTCATTGGGGATGAAAGTACTCAACTACAGGTTGCCCAATGAGATCATAAATACCAAGCCAGGTACACAGGTTGGAAGTGTTTGCCCTTCTCAGTCTGGCACTGTCAGTGCTGCAGTTCTTTTGCAGACTCATTGATTGTCACATGCTGCACGTGAGGTCCAATCTTCTCGACCTTTGCTTTTATGATCTCTACTCCTTTCTTTCACAGCCACGGCTTTCATGCTACAAAGGTAGCCCTGACTTCCAGCATTATCATGATGCCCAAGAGAATCAAGTCTCCTTCTTGCTGTTCTCATGCTCTGCCTTCTCTTCTTCGTGCCCATCTCAAATCACTCCCCTGCATAGCAGCAGTACAAGAGGAATTCCTCACTGCCCAGCTTCATTTTCATTTAGACCTTTTTCTTCAGAGGGAGGAGGCCCTAGTGAGCTGGAGAACCTGACCCAGAGCTCAGTGGTGCCTTTGTAAAAGGCCTCCAGATGAAGGGACTCTGTGGTTTTCCACAAACCAGAAATGTCCTGAAAACTGGGTGTGCCCCATGCTAAAGGCTCTGCACTCTGTGATACCAAAGAAAGTCAGCCTGATCATTTGGATGAAGGTAACACAGACCAAATAAACAGAGACTTGAATATGATTTCTGCATCAGTTGCATACTACAAGCTGTTCTGCAACTTGTCAGACAATGTTTGATATTTGGATAGTGTTAGCAAAAGGCAGATAGAAGGTTAATGGGAAAGGCCTCTGATAGTAGCTAGATGTAATTTAGAGATGGACTACAGCCATGTAGTTATATACCAGATTTGGGGTTTGGCTCATTATATTAGAGAGAAAAGGCCTAGAAATGGACGTGCACATTCAGCTAGAGCTGAGTTTTCCAAAAAGACATTTTTGGTCTGAAAAGGAATGGACAGTTTAACATCTGAACCACCTGCCTTCTGTGATGCACCAGCCTCTAGGCACTCTCTAAAAGTGCTGGATGCTGGTGGTACTGTTTAGTCCTCCCTCTCTTACTGCTTCCTAGAGAGGGGTTGAGGGTGGCAGTGATGACCACTCACTCATATATTGATACCAGTTTATCTCAGTAGTATATAGCAAAACAAAACAACAAAATTTTGTGGCCCTTGTGTTTTAATATGTCATTCAAATGACAGCATTTCTGGAGACAGAGTGTCTCCCAGTGCCATTCTGGGAAATTAAATTCAGTGTTGAGTTTGCATAAAGAGAGACGAGAGCTACTTGCTGCTTCATCACTTTATGAGCCTGGCATCTGTATCTCTGCTTAGCAAATCTTGCTTCCAGTAATCCTCTTTTTCTTCAGAGCTGAGCACCAAGAACACATTCTGAGCAATGCTTCCAGAAAGACTACAAAAACCATGCCTCAGAGTAAGGTTATAGCATTTGACTTTTAATTAAAACTCTCAGGCCATCTAATTGTACTTGTGGATGCATTACTGAGCCTGTGATCCCTCTCTTCTGCGGCCTCTCCAGCATTTTTTCAGGTGACTGGTGGCAGGCAAGTGTGCCTGTGGTAACATTCCTGTGTGCTGGGCTGCTGGAATTCAGCTATGCTCCGTAACAAAACAGTTTGGTTTACACATTCTTGATGCATGTGCACATGCAAGATGCATTTGGAGGAAAAACTAAGCAGAGTTAAGTTTACAGCCTCACTGAGAGGTGAGGTTGTAAAATCGGTCTTTCTCAGCTTTGATTAATATTGACTGATAATCTTGTTTTCCCATTCTGCTGCTTTTTCCAGGTAAAAGATGTTAAAGAGCAGACCAAAGTATTTGACAATGCCAAATATAAACCCAGTACTTCAGCATCTGCCTGAAAATCAGTAATGCAACTTGTCTGTCAGAGCTGGGTGTAGGGTAACAAATCAGTTAATGCTGCCACTATCACAGATGTTGGTTGTCCCTTTTTACCTGCCACACCACAACACTTAAAGACCAGTGAGTGTGGACACTCACAGAGCTGTGCTGAACCACAGCGGAATTGCAGAGATGCTTTGGTCCCTGCTTAACTGAGCAAACTCCCATTTGTGCATGTATTAGGTTTTCACTGCCTGCCGCCTGTTCCTCTCCCCCCTCTGCTTTTTCATGTTCAGTGGACTCTCCTCTCTGTGTCTCTGCCTCTCTCTGTATTTTTTTCTCCCTATTGTTCCCCACGTCACTGACTGTCACTCACTTCATAAAGCCGTCTGGCTCGGAGCTTAAATATTGCAGGGCAACTAAAACCCACCATCAGAGCCAATTCAGTCATATCTGCTCAGTCGTGCGACAAGATTGGGGCTTTTAGGGTAGGGAAGAAGAGAGACAAAAGTTCACTCTTCCCTGCAGAGTGCCAAGAGAGGAGGGGGACACATTTCTTCGGTGGAGCCTCTCACAGCGGCAAGTTGCTTGCTCACCATCCTTAACCTGTTCAGCCTCTCTCGCCGGTAGCATGTGCAGGGTGGGGGTCTGCAGCCAGCCCGGGACACTTCAGAACACAAACCTGTTGGCTCTGAGTGGGCTTAGGCAGAGTCCTGCTCTTTCCTCGTGGCAGGCAATTTCGGGGAAAAGGTGGCTGCCTAAGTGCCTCGCTTGCCCCTTTTTTTGAGGCTGGAGTGGCTGTCTGCTCGCAGGTGGAATCCCAGACATTCGAGCTGGTTGTGCCGCTCATCATCCATCTCCCCCCAATATTGTTGCTCCAAATGAGCAACCTCGAACCACTTCCCTTGCAGAAAACAAGAGGGGATGGACATGGCAGAGTTGTGAAGAATGTGACAAGTTGGAAGTGATCTCAGGGAGGGCTTAGCCAAATGCAGCGAGCTGCGAGCAAGGCGTGTGATGGAGTTAGACAGGAAACATTTTCCCTTCTCCTATACAGTGAGTTTTCCGTGTGATAAGGTTTATCACACCTAGAATGTGGCTCTTGTGTGCTGCAGTGGAAATGCTCAAATGGTAGCGTAGATATGAGTGTGACTCACAGGGAAAGAAAGGGATGGAGTTAACTGAGGTGCCTGGGGGACAATGAAGCTTGTACTGTGTGTAGTCATGTTTTTTAAAGAGTTGCACGTGATTGGTAACTGTCGGGTGTACTTTGCTCTGTGAATTTGCAGAAAGAGGATGTTTAAATCAGTTTAGATAATGTATGTAAACAGCATAATCTTCTGCTAGACTTGTTAATGTAAGCGCTGACATTAACACGCTTCTTTACAAGACTTTAATGACTGAGAAAGTAGCAATTTTCCTTGGTGATTAAATTATATGTTTGCCGCTTATGTATGCGAGGTGTTTGTGCAAACTGAAGGTACTGGGTTCTGTTCTTCATTTTCTAACATGAGTGTCCGGGGTAAAAATAATGTGAGGTTTGAGGGCAAGGAATATGAGTCCATCATCTTGCTTTAGCAAAATGCCATCATACATAAGCTATTTTTTTTTTTTTTTGACTGAAAATTTGTGAAATTCCCCCGAGCCATAGAATTCTCAATATTTTACGTGTTTGTCTATGTGTGACTACGTACACAGAGTAGTTGAAACAGACTGGTATGCGTTGGTGTGTCATAACATATGGCATTACAAATATATCCCAGTGGTATCTGAAGGAGGAGGGATGTTTAGATACTCAGATTTTCATGCTGTTGACTGTACCTTCCTTTTCTCAGTGCTTGTGTATGTGTCTGCATTTAGAGAACTATAGATGGAGGTAGTATCTAAGAGATGAACTACTAGATCTCTGTGAACAGCTATTTTATAAATAATGTTCCCTGTTTCACTTGTCATGCTCTACAAGTCGGTCTTTCTGAGCCACTGTAATATTTTGCATTCCTCAGAGACTTCAGACTGCTGTGATGGGTTAAATCAACCCATACAAAACAACTTTCATCTCTATTTTCCTCTTTCATAGATCTTCCCTTGCCTGAAATTATATAGTGGGAAGTTCAGGATATGCAGAATGAAGCCCTGACCTAGGAATCATTTCTTATCATGCAAAAGTAATGACAGATGTAATATTTGACTTGCATTACTTGAAAATGGATGACTGTCTTAGCTTTCCAATAGCGTATCTGCAGCTGGCTTCCAGCTCTGTATTAGCCTGAGATAGTGGCACTTTTAGAGACAGCAAGTAGTATTTTAGGTCCCAGTTAGAGACCTTGGTTCCACTGTCAGTGTGTCAGTGTCAGAAGGGGATGCAAAGAATAGCCCAAATAGCATCAAATAATTATATTGCATATAACATATTCTATATAGCAAAACTAATCTATATAGTAGTTGTTAAGCTTATGCAGCATTACTAACACAGTAATGGTGTTGTAATTGCTGTTCTTACCTAACAGAGTGATTGCTAGAGTAGAATTGACATTTGCAACCTAGAGAGAATTCAGGTTTGTTTAGGTATAAGATGTAGATTTGAGATCTGTTCGACCCATGAGGGGTTCTGGTGCAGGAGTGCTTGTGTGCTTGAAAGCTTCACCCTCTCTTCTAACCACTGCAGCTGCCTGCTGATAAATCTGTTCCACTGTATTGCTGTTGAGTGTTTGTACGTGTACAAAATCCAAGCAGACTCACAGAAGTGAGCCTACAAGGCGCCACAGAAGACTTTCACCTGCAAAAGGAGATAAATATACTCTCTGGCTGAAAAGTAATTGCCCATTTAGAGCCATGGAAGGAAGAATTTAGCAGGCAGCTTGCTCTGGCTTACCAGCCCTTCTCCTGCTAATAAATCATTGTGAACAGGCAAATCAGCAAGCAAGCGACCGCCTTTCTGTTTTCAAAGCATATTAGGGAAATACTGATCGAAAGCAACAAAAAACATCGGCGGGAAAACCCGAAACCTTTAAAATTTAGCATAATGTGTGGTTTTTCTTTGTTTTTTCTTCCCTTAGACCGTAAGAAATGGGTGACTGGAGTTTCTTGGGGAACATTTTAGAGCAGGTGAACGAGCAATCCACTGTCATCGGGAGAGTTTGGCTCACGGTGCTCTTCATTTTCCGCATCCTGATCCTGGGCACAGCCGCTGAGCTCGTGTGGGGAGACGAGCAGTCAGACTTTGTGTGCAACACCCAGCAACCTGGTTGTGAGAACGTCTGCTACGATGAGGCCTTCCCCATCTCCCACATCCGGCTCTGGGTCCTGCAGATCATTTTCGTATCCACCCCTTCGCTAATGTACTTCGGGCATGCTGTGCACCACGTCCGCATGGAGGAGAAGAGGAAAGAGAGGGAGGAAGCCGAGAGGCGCCAGCAAGCTGAGGTGGATGAAGAGAAGCTGCCCCTGGCTCCAAACCAAAACAAAGGCAACAACCCTGATGGAACCAAGAAGTTTCGCCTGGAAGGTACTCTCCTGAGAACGTACATCTTCCACATCATTTTTAAAACCCTCTTTGAGGTGGGATTCATAGTAGGTCAGTACTTCCTGTATGGCTTCCGAATTCTCCCCCTTTACCGCTGTGGGCGGTGGCCCTGTCCCAATCTTGTGGACTGTTTTGTCTCCAGGCCCACGGAGAAGACCATCTTCATTATGTTCATGCTGGTGGTGGCTTCTGTATCCCTCTTCCTCAACCTGGTGGAGATAAGTCATTTGATCTTGAAAAGAATCCGGAGGGCTCTGAGGAGACCAGCGGAGGAGCAGCTTGGAGAGGTCCCGGAGAAGCCCCTCCACGCCATCACAGTCCCCTCCATCCCTAAGGCCAAAGGCTACAAGCTGCTGGAAGAAGAGAAGCCGGTGTCCCACTATTTCCCTCTCACGGAAGTAGGGGTTGAGCCCAGCCCCCTTCCATCAGCCTACAATGAGTTTGAGGAGAAGATTGGGATGGGACCATTGGAAGATCTGTCCCGGGCATTCGATGAGAGGTTACCATCGTATGCGCAAGCGAAGGAACCAGAAGAGGAGAAGGTACGAGCAGAGGAGGAGGAACAAGAGGAGGAGCATCCAGGGCCTCAGGAAGAGCCAGGGGTGAAGAAAGCAGAGGAGCAGGTGGCGAGAGATGAAGTGGAAGGGCCTTCAGCACCTGCTGAACTTGCTGCTGATATGAGACCCCTGAGCAGGCTAAGTAAAGCCAGCAGCCGGGCCAGGTCAGATGATTTGACTGTATGAAGGTGCAGGATGCGGGGAGCACATGAAAAGGAAAAGGTTGAAGAGAAAAAGAGAGATAGAGAAAGAATCAAAACATATTTTTAAGCAAAGCGCTAAAAAGGCCACTTGAATATTATTTCCTTTTATGATTCTCAACTGGAAAGGTACTACCATGGTAGCTGTGCCTTATTTGCCCCATATGTCCCTGTATTTCCCTGTTTCCACATGCCAGCTCACTCCTTACAGTAATATCTATACTGGACACATAACTGATGTATTTTAAAACCTAACATGGCAGCGATACCCAAATGTCACCACTGTGATCATTATTTACTGAAAGCCTTGTGTTCCACATTTCTCTAGGAATGTGGGGAGGATCTGTCTTTCAGCCAGTGAGGGGAAAGACTGATCAACAACTGTATCTAGTCTTTCTGTTTCTGTTTCCTCCTATGGCTCACTGAGCAGATCTCCCCTTTGCTGTTGGCATGGAATTGCAGTTATTTAATTCACAAAATGAATTCTATGCTTAGCATCAACACACTAAAATACTAAGCCAAACTTCCCTTCTTTACTCAGAAAATAAAGGCAAAAGTGTTCCAAATTTCTCTGTGAATGCATATCTGAGTTAGGTAAAAATATTTTCCCCGGTCAAAAATATTTCTGCTCTTCAAGCGACATTGACAGTGGGCAAGGTTAAGAGTAGCTGTCTACTAGGACTTAGCAGATGCCCAGAGATGGATTATTTGTTCCCAAGAGGGTCATCCAGCCCTGAGACTAGTTCAGAATACTGGAAAGAATAATTTCATGTGATATTTTTTACTTGTAACCTTGTGACTTAAAGATCTGAAGCTATATTTAGCCAAGTAAGAGGGAAAAATCTTCTGAGAAAGGAGGGGACAGCTACAGCCCCCAGAGCACATAACCAAATGCAAGCCTTCACGGTGTGATCCTGACAGGTGTTCAGTTCCTGGAGTTTCCAAGCTCCCAGGCACTCAGCAAATCTCAGGTACAGAGTCCTGAAGGCACCTGTGAACCTAAACCAGGGGTCTGGGTAACTATGTGACTTTTTAAGCCTCTAAATACAAAACTGGTCGGTCAAGTTTGAAAAGACTGATATGATAAAATTCTTTTGACAGCCTTTGTTTATAATTTGACAGATGGGAACCATTCAGTGGGCTACTTCTTAATTAAATGCCAAAGTCTAGCTCAAGTAAGACAATGCCTTTCAAAAGATGATTTAGACCTTTTGTGCCAACAGATCTGTACAGAACTCTCAGAGACTCAGAAAAATCTTTTTTTACAGAAGGCAGAAAATGATGTGCTTGCAAATGTTTAGATGTCTAATATAGGTTTCTAATTTTAGGTCTACAGCAGCAACTCTTGGCTGGGACAGCGCAGCAATGCGTTCAAAAGCTTCAGGTTAACAGCTATGTCCCCCCAAAACTGAGCCTCATGCCAAAAAAGTGCAGGTATGCACTCTGCTCTGCTCTGCTCTGCAAACCTCAGACCCTGCCATCTCAGCAAATTCTTTCTGCTGGGCTGCAGCCCATCCCATTGTTCCCAGGGCAGGCTCTAATCCAGGTCAGGGAAAAAAAGGTCTTTGGCACAATGCATCAAACTCATCCCGCCATTAGCTAGAAAAGACCCCTGCGGCCTCCTATTGTGGCAGGTCTGACTCAAAGCCCAGGGAAGGCAAATGGGTGTCTGTGAGAGCCCTGGGTAGGCTTGGGCCCTGCCCCAGCCCCAGAACAGTCAGTCCTGTTGCTCCTGATGCCACCCCTTTGGTGGAGTTCCCTGCCTGGCCACGCAGCCATGGAGGTGGCTGGACTTCACTGCTGAGTGATGATAAGTGTACATATGTAGAAAGTTTGTAGGGTGCATTGGGATTCTTCAGTGCCACAGAGGTGCCATGTGGGTTTTTTTTGGTTTTTTTTTTGTTTTCTTTTTTTTTAAACTATTCATCCTTTTGCTCCTCTGTGTATTTTTCCAAGGTTTGCAGCCTGAGGTCAAAACCTTTATTCCTTAAGCAAAGGCTGTTGAGTGTCCTTCCTTGTGAAAAGACTGGAAGCTCCCTCCTCAGTTTTGGGAAAGAATATGACAAAGCAACACATGCAGAGAGAGAGAGCCTGGAGGCTACCATTTATCCACTCCCTTAATACAGAAACAGGAGAACTGTTATCACAACTAAGGAATGAGAATGTTTTTCAGCAGGAAGAGTCCACTGTGCCCTGTTCAAGATACGAGAAAAAAAGAAAGGGCTAAGATTTAGAGGAACAACACAATCACCACACTTACACTAGATGAGATCTATTTTATTTTCTCCATAGAAAGAGATAAGAGAGTTTGAATGATTCTAAGAATCAACCAGCCCACTTGTTGACGGGGATTAGAAACACACCTTCCTGCAGGTAAAAACCACAACCTTGTAACAGTTTAGTATGAGGTATCTGCATCAGAGCATCTGACCTTTCCAGATACCAAGGTACTGGACTGGCTGAATCACACTCACCCCTGTTGACTTCTAATTACTTGACAATTCCACTCCTGATCTCTGACATTCATACATTCATTAGACTACAGGACTACTTAAAGATGAGTGCTTGCTCATCAGGAGTACACTGTTCACAACATAGCTGTCAGGAGGGGCAGTCTTTAATCACCACAAGTTAATTATGTCCTTTTTCACTGGAGAGCCTCAGTAAAATGCACCATGTGCAGTGTATTCCATGGACACTGTAGCTCTCTCACAGCTGCCACAGGAATGCTCCTTTCTTCCCCCGGGTCCCAACAGCACAAGGAGAAGTTGGCATTTTCCTCCTGCATCCACTCAACTGCTTCTTGATTTTTTTTATTTTTTTAAAGCCAGTTTTCAAGTACTTTGCCTGGCTGGCAGTGAATCTATAGCCACCAAGCATGGGCCACAGCATCAGGACAGAGCTGCTTGGCAAACGGGGCAGGAACAGTCTGGTCTTCTGGCACTCAGCCTCATCTCTGCAAGGAAATTGCTGTGGGACTGTCAGCAAGTTATTCTTCCTTCTTGTGCAATTGGGAATCATTTTCTACCTTACAATGATGATGTGGGGCCTGACGTGCTAATTATGGAAAGGGAGGTCTTTGGATGGAAGGCCTTACAGATGAGCAAAGGATTATTGCTATTTCTGGATGTGAGAGCACATAAATGTGCTTTATTCCCTCTCAATGAGACAAACTTAATTGTTTATTCAAGAAATTCCTAGTGAAGTTGTATAACAGCCTCAGAGCTGTGGATTCAGTGTATGATTCTACTCAAAAAATAACTTAGCAAAATATAGAGATATATATGATGAATGGGGAATATTATATCCTTGGGAAGGGGGAAATCACTGGACAATTAGAGCCATGCCTGGATCATTTAAAGGTGTGTTTACCCCCTTAGCTCCCTGTGCAAATAAATTCCTAACTGATCACTTGGCTCTCTGCAAGGAGCATAAGGTGCAAGTGTCAAAATCACCAAAGAAGGTGAAAGTAGAAGAGCAAGGTAGTCTCTTAGTTTACAATAGCATGTGGGGGTTGGTGTTCTCTAGTGTCTAGAGCAGTGGACCTAGGATAATAATCTTAGATTTATTTCCAGCTCTGCTTCTGACTTGCTGTGATAATCACTTTACCTCTCAGTGCCTGTTTTCTCCACCTGTAAAATAGGTGTAAGAATTTCCACCTACCTCACAGGGATGTTGTGAGGCTTCCTTAATTCTGTTTGTAAAGTAAGTAGGAATGATCTGATGAAAAGCACTCCTGAAATGCATGGTATCCTTGTTATTTCTTGGCAGAACTGCTAAATTGGGTAATATATGACTCCTCGATCAGAAGGGTGGTAGTTTGGAAATGTGAACATTGCACTGCAGTGACAACATTAACATGGATGTGGATTTGCCACGGGTAAAAAAGACTTTCTTGATTCCCTCACCCATCTCTCCCACCTTAGCCAAGGCCATGTATGAAGCTGTGGTGAAAGTGTGATGATGTGGACCCCTCTTCTCCATCCCCAGCGTCCACTCTGGGGCGGCACTTGTGCTTAAATAAGGCAGTTCCTGGAGTACTTGGTTCAGGTTGGTGGAGCTCTGACAGTTGTAAGGTGCTTGCAAGGCATGTGGGAGAGGGTTGGATCATGCAGAATATTGCTGGGCTTCTGTTTTAAACCACTCAAAGACCAACACCCACAATCTCTCAGTGCTGAAACACAGTGAGGTGCAGATTCCTCCTCCTGCAGGAGAGGAGAGATTTGGGGGGAACCTCTGCTCTCTAGGTCTGTGTGGGCATCAAATCTACTTACTGACGAGGGAAGTCCCATCTCTCCTGCTGCTCAGTAACTCACTGACTGTGCAGTTTTACATTTAAAGAGCGGCTGTGTCACACAATGCTGAAAAAAAAGGTGGCAGTTTGCTGTTTTGTATAGAAAATGGCTTTTCAGGCTGACAACTGAAAGTAATCCTAGCCTAGGCTTAGTTTTGTTTAGCAAAGACAGGAACATCCATGAGTACTACACTAAAGCCTTCCTGTAAGCCCAAGGCAGCTGTGATGAAACAGTATATGGTGCCAGATTTCCTGAGGGCCAGGGCTGGATAAACGTGCCAAAATCAGGGGACTTGTCGAAGAATTGGAATATTTTTTTCCCCCCAACAAAATGACATTGCCATTACTTGGGCTCTGTGTGTGCTGTACCTTTTAACATGGCTCAGGAAAGGCTTCTTGCCAACACCAAATGTGCTTACACAGCTGAGCAGTAACCATGGCAGGCGAATATGTGTTGGCTTGCCAAGACATAGCCTGGCACACAATCCTTTCCTTGCCACTAGCTTGGCACCAACCTATTTCAGTAGAAGAGGCAAGACTTCTGTATCTGTCAACAACTCAAGCTTTACTCTCAGCAGCCTGCTGTACAAAGAGACACAGGAGGTTTGTTCAGCCTGGAGAGAAGGGGGCTGAGGGCATTGGAAGCCCTAAGTGCTTTCTTCAGGTTCCTAAGGGGGAGGAATTCCAGGGGAGATGGAGGCAGACTCTTGACAGAGGTGCACAGCAAAAGACCAGAGGCAACAATCACAATGAGCAGCAAAGGAAAATTTTTACGAAAAAAGCTCCGACAAGGAAAAAACTTGTTCAAACGGAGAGTGGTTCAGCACTAAAGCAGGTGCCCAGAAACATGGTGGGATCTTCATCCTTGGGGGATGAAGCTTGGCTGGGAAAAGTATTGAGCATCCTAACGTGTATTGAGCTGAAGGTTGGGCCAGGTGATGCCTTCCAGCCTGAACTATCTATCCCATGAGATATCCCAAGCTGAAAGGTCAGTGCAGCCACTGCGTGGTGGAATGACACATGTAGGGCACTTCCTGCCTGCCGGGGTGCTCTGGTAGAGCTGGTTCAGGCTGTCCCAAAGGCCACACCACCTCCCCAGGCACCAGCAGAGGCCAATGCACACACAGAGTCAGCTGTTCAAGTGTTCAAGGCCAGGCTGGATGGAGCTCTGAGCAGCCTGGTCTGATGAAAAGTGTCCCTGCCCATGGCGGGGGGTTGGAACTGGATGATCTTCAAGGTCCCTTCCAACTCAAACTACTCTATGGTTCTGTGATTTTATGAACTGGTGTTTGGTAGCTACAAGAGCTGCTTGAGGCCAGAATTGTGTTGTGTAACTGGTTTGGAAAAAGCATTATAAATAAAATAAAAAAAAAAAAAAAGAAAAAGAGTATGCTTGTCAACAGATAAAATCATGGAAATATAGCAGCTTAGGTCTTTCCATATTTTAACTTCAGCGTCAAGTGTGCCTTTAAATCCATCTGAAAGTGCACAGGACTGCATTTTAACATTCTGTCAACAAAAACCTGTGTGTTTTAAAGCTTGCTGATCTGGGATGAAGCAGCACTGAATAGAAATGGTGATTACAGAGCTACTGACAGAACATTTTGAAAAAAACAAAGACTGTTGGCCTTTGCCTTGCTAGATCCAGCTTGGTACAGTGAAAGCAAACCAGCCATTTATTGGCTTCCAAGGTGGAAAAGCTATATAAAAAAATGCTCAGGTAAGTTTTTCAATACATGTTAGCTCACAAAAGAGTCATAGACAACCCTGCAAAGGAATCCATGAATTGCCAATGAACATCATCACCTGAACTCATCAAGAATAAACTCAAAAGAAATGCAGAAATCATCAGAACGATGTGGGAATGCTTCCAGCTTCAGAGTTCTTGTTTATGAAAACCTCTGGAGAGAAGAGAAAAGAAAATGGGTGGCTGGCTGCCAGCTAAGGCTATTTGTCATAAATATGCCTCATAGCACCTTCTGGAAACCTGTGTGATTTCTAAACATTCTCTTGGCCAAACCCCATGATTTAATTCAATATACTGCACCTTCCGGCTTTACTTAAAAGGCTTGATTTTGGTTCTCTCTACAAACTGAACATAAAATAGCCTTGTTCACTATAATATGTGGAAGAATAACTAGAGCTGAGAAGCTGCTTTTGTACCTGTGGAGGGCCATGGACTCTTCTCCCCACACATGCACATCAGCAACTATCTAAAGACGAACAGCACAAAATAAATTTCCCATTTTCTTCTCACACATTTTGTCTTTCCTGAAGGAGGAGTCCTGGGGCTGAGAGGTGGGTGTGGGGCTGGGTTTATCCTGTAGGAATTATCTCGTTCTCTGTGTTTCTCCCAAGGCCCAGGGATCAGTAAGCAGAGGCATGTTTCAAGCCTATTTCCAAACATATGCAAAGATGAAAGTTTAAGACCTATGACCAAACTCTGCCTTGTTTTTCACTCTTGTGTGGAAGTTGAGTTGCCAAGACAAAAACAAGAGCAGAATTTGGCTCTGTGTAACTTATTTTTAAAGGATTTCCTTTTAACCTCAATCTCTAAAAGGCAACCAACAGCTAACCTTGCCCCACAACCTACCAACATAGAACAAAACAACCACAAATCCCTCCAAACTCAGGAATCTCATCACTTTAGGAAAAAACAGTTTCTAAGTAGCAGATACAGAAAGAAAGAGCAGGCAAGGCCTGATCTCAGCTCTGCATTAACTGGCAGTGATACCAGAAACTGTAAAAGTCTCAGACCAGACACAATAACCCGGTCCCTCAGTTAATTTCTCTCTGAAAGCTGAATGTTTTCTTCTCTTTGCAATGCTGCAGTCAAGGAGACAAATTTCAAACCAAGAAGTCTGAGAGCAAGACAGAAAGCCAAACAATCAGAGACTATGGGACTAATCTGGTGACTCGGCACAACCAAACACAGATTGTTTTCCTAGTGAAATGAGTTGTAATGAATAAAGTTTCCTGATTTTCAGTCAGCAGGAGCTCTGTGCTTTGTTAAACTCACAACTTGATTCTTCTCTTCCTGTTTGTTATTCTGAATACAAAGAGTTCTGAGTGCCAATGGTTAGAATCATAGAATAAGAATCATCGAGGTTGGAAAAGATCATGAAGTCCAATTGCCAATCCAGCACCATCATCAAACCATGTCCTCAAGTGCCATATCCATGTTTTTTAAGCATTTCCAAGGATGGTGACTCCACCACTTCCCTGCACAGTCTGTTCCAATGTTTTACAATCTTTTCTCTGACTTTTATTTTTTCCCTAATGTCTAATCTAAATGTCCCCTGGTGCCACTTGAGGCCATTTCCTCAAGGTGTGTTTCTAAGAGGAAAAAAGAAAAAGATTCAGACGCCATGAAGGTCAAGTGGGAACACGACTGTGACATGAAGGATTGATCTCACACCGATAGCCATCAGGAAATTCCCTGTCTGCACTTTTGCTTCCCTTCTGGCCCCGTTTCTTGATATATTGCAATTGCAAGGCCTGGAAGGCATCCACAGCCCAGTTCTCAGTGTGGAGGAAGGATGGAGAGGGCTCCATGTGGGAGATCAATCTCCCCTTAGGGGGGAAGATGGGCCAGGAGCAGTTGTGGTGTGCCATGAGCCGCTCACTGCTGCCCTGCTCCTGCATTTACAGCAGTGGTAAAATTGCAGAGTCACAGAATTGTTTGAGTCTTTAAGACACCTTAAAGATCATGCAGTTCCACAGCCCTGTCATGGATGGGACATCACCCACTCGACCAGGTTGCTCAGAGCTTCACCTAACCTGGTCTTAAACACTTCCAGAGATGGCGCATCCATGTCTCTGGGAAACCTATTCCAGTGCCTCACCACCCTCACAGTTAAGAATTTCATTGTAATGTTTAATCTCAACCTGCTCTCTTTCAGTTTGAATCCATTCCCCCTTGTCCTGTCACTCCATGCTGTTGTACAAAACCCCTTTCCACCTTTTTGCAGGCTCCCTTTAGACACTGTAAGGCCGCAATTAGGTCACCCCTAAGCTGTCTCTTTTGCAGGCTGAGCACTCCCAGTTTTCTCAGACTTTTGTCACAGAGTGGTGCTCCTTCCCTCCAATTAACTCGGGGGCTTCCTCTGGACTGGCTCCACCACGTCCATGTCCCTCCTGTGCTGGGGTCGGTGTTCACCCTCCCCTTCTTCCTGTGCCTCGCACACCTCCTTCTGCCCCCACGCCAGCACGGGTGCCCTTCCTAGGGGTTTTGAGTGCAGCAGCAGCGCTGAGTTTGGAAGGGGCAGGCGAAGGGCTCAGATTCGCAAACTCTCCCCGCTCCATTCCCTCACACGGGCCCCGCCGTGCTCCCTCCGCTGGGGCCGCTGGGGGCGGAGCTTCCTTCATGCCCCCGCCCCCTGGCCCCGCCCCCGCGGCGAGGAGGGCGGGGCGCCCACCCCGGGGCGCGCGCCCCCGCGCCTGCGCGCCGCCGCCACCGGAGCCGGAAGCGCGGCGGGGCGGAGCGGGGCGGAGCGGGCAGCGTCGGGCGCCGCCATGAGTTTCCTCATCGACTCCAGCATCATGTTCACCTCACAGGTACCCAGTCCCCTTCACCGCCGCTGCGGCGCCGCGCCTCCGGCCGGGAGAAGGGCGAGGGAGCGGGGAGGTCCCGCCGTCACCGGGCTCCCCTCTGCCTGCGCCGTGCCGGAGGAGCGCGCGTCTCCCCGCGCGGGGGCGCGCGCACCCTCAGGGGCGGCCGGGCCCGGCGGAGCCGAGCTCCGCTTAAGTGTAAATTTAAGTTTCTCCAGTTGGAACAGATAGGGAAGTTCATCTTGCAGGTCTCTGCTGAGTCCTCGGTTTATTTCTGGTATTTCTCAGTGAGGTTGATCCTAGGCAGTTGGACCAGGTGATCACAGTGGATCACAGGGATCTGATCTAAGCTTCTGAGCTGGTGTGAAAGTTCTGTTGTGTAGTGATGAGGAAAGGGAACCTTTCTCCTCTCAGCAGCAGGTGGTTGTCTTAGATAGACTTCAGTGCACACCCCTAATTCCTGATAATTTTCAGGACAGCTTTTGGCCGTTTCTTAGAAGAACAGTGCCCTGCTATTTGATAATGCTTTAATTTTTTCTTAAAACATGCTTTTTCACTCTTGGTGGTTTGAGCCTAGCTTTGGTAGTGTTAACAATTCACCCAGAACAAAAACTCCCATTTTTTTGCTTTGAGTTCTGAGCTCTAACTTATCTAATATCTTTTCTTTCATTTCTGATAGCAGCTTTGAATCCTTTCATCATCTTCAATAGTACCAAGTTAGATGTTCAAGTCTCTGTATGTAATTGTCAAATGCTCAAGATTTTGCTGAGTTTACATGTCACATTCACCTGCAGTGTCTTGGAGTGTGAACTTTTACCAAAACGTCTTTCTTTGCTTTTGTACAGTCCCTGACACAAGGGGAGTCTAATCTTCAGTTTTCCGTTCTTCTTGTACTTACTTATCTCTTCATCTTTTTCTCTTACTTACTTCTGTTAAAGAGTTTGTCTCTACCTTTTTCCTCCTTCCCACTGTTAAATGTGGAATTACTTTATGTAGATCTCATTTGCTTATCGCTCTTCTTTAACTTATGACATGTAGATAGGAGGTTTACAGAATATCTTTCCTTTTTGCTAGCAGCAACTTTAAAGTCTGAAGTCCTCCTCAAACAAGTTTTGCCAGCTGTTACAAATCACTCATTCGACCTCATTCCTATTTCAGTTGTTCTTTCAAGGCAGCTGCGTTTGATCTTCTTGCCCAGCATTCCAGGTATTCCTTGTCTGTAAATTATGTTAGTGTGTTACCTTTGCCACTGTGGTTACTCCTGATTGCAGGGAAGTGATCCACAGTAATTCCTTTGCTTTTGTCTTTGAATATTTCCCATCTCCAAGGCAGGGTGGGCAGAAAGCTCTGGCCTTTTCCATGTGCTCTGAGGAGATACACTGACTATGTTTGATGTCTGACACATACTGAATTTTGTCTTTGCCTTGGTCAAAGCTACTTCTGTAAAAAATAAGTATTTCCCGAATTCTCTTTTTGCTTGAGTTCTTTTAAATCATTACACTCCCTTTCAGTCTTATGAGGAATAGATGGGGCTACCCAGGGGAGGCCTGACAACACAGCCTCCTTTTACTCTCTAAAGACAGGTAATTGCAATTTTGGCTGCCTTGTTCAATTTGTGTTTAATTCATTTAAGTCATCTGCAAAATAGCTGTGGTATTAAGTTGATCCCTTCAGGAGTGTGGCGAGACTTAAACAAATTTTGTAATGTGCTTTCACAATCACTGAAATGCAAAGTGCTACTGGCTTTTTTTCTGCTTCACCCACCTTGTCCATGTGGCTTTCTGCAGCTCCAGATTGTGGTTTGGCATTCAGCACTCCCTTTTCCCCACCTTAGAGATGCTTGTAGCACCTTTCACCCACAATGTGTCAGTGTGTAACCAGACCTCTACAAAAAATTCACATGCACTTCTTGTCTACAAGAAACAGCAGATGTTTTTATCAAATTTACTCATCCCTACCAGTTGTATATGTGGTGGACATTGAAGTGTTTGCTTTGCCTCAGTTTCTGTATTTCCTGTAAAAAAACCCATAGGCTTTAATTCTGTAGATTGCAAGAGTGGAACAAGAATCAATAGTGCAAAGGATTCTGGCAGGCCAGGAACTGAGGAATTCTGAGAATTTAGGAACACCAAACTCTGCTGTATTGACTAGATCTTTCTTAAGGCCATAGTCTTTTATGTCTGCTACACTTGGATACCTAAAATACCAATTTTTCCATGTACCATGGAAAATTTTAATATTTTTTTGGATCTTGAGTACTTTGGGTTAGCTCTTTTCCTTCCATTTGTTTAATTTACAGTCAGCAGTGCAGTGGGTTTGTGTTTGGCAAGTTGCAGGATGCAAATGTTGAGTGCTTCATCTCTTCTGCAGGTGCTGTTCTTTGGATTTGGGTGGCTCTTCTTCATGCGAAAGCTCTTCAAGGATTATGAGGTGAGAAGGAACCTTTCATTACAAGTCTGTATCTTAAAAAATTACTCGCAATTATAGAAATATTTTAAAAACTGCATTTAGCCTTATTCCTCTCTTTAATTCCTTTTATCTTATCTGCAGTTGCTTTCTTTTTAATTTCCACTTGTGCTTCTATTTGAAAAACTCCTAGATATCCGAGGAAATGGATTCTCCTATGGCCACTGAAAGTTTCCATACTGGCTACTGTTAAATAAAAAGAAACATGGAGGAGATATGGGGGTAATAGGAAACTGAGGGAACTGTTTTGCCTTTTGTCCTAGTAAGCCCACCTTATATAAAGTGAAATTTTGGAGACAAACCATCCCTGAGAGACTACCATCTCATACTCCACTATGACTAAGAGAGTGGCATTTTAATCCCATCTAAGCTGCCTCACAAACAATTCAGCTGGAACTTACACATCTCACTGAGTTTAAAGTTAACCACTGGATTTGATTTTAAGTGCAAGCCAAATTCAGACCCCAGCAGTTTTTCTGATGTGGATTTTCCTTTTAAATCTAAGGTTAATATCAAAGAGTTTTCTTAGTTTTTGAGTTTGCCCTCTGTTTCCCAAGAAGCTTTTGGCTTCCTCCTGAGCAGATAAAGAGCTTGGTGCCTTTCAGCATGAGACCCAGTTGTGGGGCATTATACCTTGTGATTTGTTTTGTTATCTGAGGGATATCAGGATGCCATTCCAGAAATATAAGTGCCTGATGTCTGTGGATTGTTCTCTGCATTGCAGGTACGACAGTATGTGGTCCAGGTGATCTTCTCTGTGACTTTTGCCTTCTCTTGTACCATGTTTGAGCTCATCATCTTTGAGATTTTGGGAGTGCTGAACAGCAGGTGAGTCTGGGAGCCCACTGGGGACTGGTTTACCTTGTGCTCTGCAGCATCTTCAGTCTAACTTCTAAATTAGTGGATTAGTCTTGGATGGAAGAAATCATGGGAGAGAACTGTCAACAACTCAATCAAGATGTTTGTGCAGCAACATTTGTTTATTTGACAGAACATGGGGACTAGTAGCCATAAGCTTCCAATTTTCCATGCAATTAATAATTGGCCTGGGTCCTTAGGGCAAGGCTTAGGTCTTGGACTTTTCTCCATTTGTGAAGTTAAAAGAAATGTTTTCTTTTGTGGAAGTATTGTAAGTCTTCAGATCATGCTAAGAGCACTTTTCAGATGCTAAAGACTACAGAAACTTTAAGCACTGATTTTTCTTTGGTGGTCAGAGGAGTGAATAAGATGTGAAACTAATTGTGGAGTGAAAGCTATGTCTGTAACAGTACAGGATTTGTGAATCAAAGGTGAATCCCCGCTTGACAATAGGGTGAGGACTTCTACATAAAGGTGGTGTTAAAAATTTTCTTCTTTGGAAGTCAGTAGGAAAGAGAAGATAGAACCATAACATGTAGAGGCTAAGTTGAGTTTCTTCTTATTCTGTCTAATCATACAAGTATAAGAGAGCAGTCAAAGGGGTTGAAAGGCAAGAAGCACAGAGCAGATGAAAGGTAATGTTAGTTCTGTATGCTGTTAATATGTGGGGCTGGTAGCCAGAAAGATCACTGAGGAGAATGCTTTTATGAGCTTCAATAAAGGGACTTCAGTATAGATGAAAATGTTTGCCTCTCAATCAGTTAGGGAAGAAGAAATGATGAGGATCCTTGTCACTTTTTCCTGGGGATAAAAAGGATATGAGTTAATGTTGGGAATGGGGACATGTATTTTTCTGTTCAAGTAAAGTGAAAGGTCATTTCAGCCAAGATGAATCTCGCCTGTGTTTGTCCACTCTAATTTGGTCAGAGGAGTATTGGTCATGTTGATCTGTCTATGTGTTTATAAAACCTTGCTTTGCAAAGTCTTGCAGATGAGACACTTCTGAAGTGAAACATGTTGAATTATCAACCTTAAGTATTTTTAGTCTTTTCAATATGGATTAGCTCTTTTTTGACTCAGCTGTTCATTAGAAAATTAATTACTGCTTATACTTAGTTTTCATTTAGTGTTCTACCAGATGAGCAGTCAGTCACATGAATCATTCTGCGACTGTCATTAGTCACCATAAAAAATACAGTATTTGATAAAATACCTAGCATGGTTTTCTAGATAGTTGTTTAGTTTTAAATACACATTCTTGACCTCTGTATTTAAAAATAAAACCATACAAAACCCCTAACCAAACAACTCCCTCTCCTCTACCCTAATAAAAAACATCGAGAATATTCTATATACTAAGCCAATAGTTTTCATTGCTTGATGTAGCTGAAAATATTTCACTGACATGCAGTTTTCATTGAGAAATTTGTTGCATTATGATATCGTGCTAATCAGTATTTTGGCTTTATTTCAGCTCTCGATATTTTCATTGGAAGCTGAACCTCTGTGTCATTTTGCTCATCCTGATCTTCATGGTGCCCTTCTACATTGGTTACTTTGTTGTGAGCAATATCAGATTATGTGAGTATTTGGTTTGTGGCAGGAGAGCTGCTAATTTGAGCATAGGAATACAAATGAGAAATAATTTTGGTTACTGTCCTTGTACCTCCCTCCTTGCTCTGGGTTTGTTCTGGCTAAATACCTTCTCTTTGGAACTTTATGCTGTATCATGAACCATTCATTGAACAGTCAGGAAATTCTTTACATGACCCCAGCAAATGCTGCTTTTCTTCACGGGTTGCAACAAAGTTGAGCACTTCAGAGTAGTTTTGTGGGATTTGTTCCTTTGCAATTCTAAGCTTGCAGCCAAACTCTGCAACCCTTGGCAAGGCTGTGTTGTTCTACCGGGGGATAAAAGAAATGAGGCAGAGAAGCTCAATAAATCACTTCTGAAGCAGAAAAGCTCAGTAAATTACTTGTGCTGTTTTTGTTTCTGCTGTCTGGATGAGGCCTCTTCCATGGGCTAATGGACACTTAACCCTTGAACTGTTCATACTCATCACTCTGTTGTGTGTAACTTAGGCATATAGGTTGGGAATATTAAATGTGTAGTTTAGCCAGGAAGGTGAAATATTTAAGATTCATGTTCAAGACCACACAAGAAAGAAGCAGTGAAGTGGTCCCGTGTGGAGCCTTGTGGGAGGTGAAGGGGTGCACACTGCAAGTTGTAGCTCTGCCAGGTGGCACCTGCTTTGGCCACCTGTTCTCAAAGTAGCATTTAGATCAATGTGAAAATGTTGCAAGCTATAAAAAGCCCTAAAGGAAGAACCTATTTTAAACACTCTCTTTTTCCTCTCCATTAGTGCACAGACAGAAACTACTTTTTGCGTGTGTTGTGTGGTTGACATTCATGTATTTCTTCTGGAAGTTGGGAGATCCGTTTCCTATCCTCAGCCCAAAACACGGTGAGTTTAATTTTCTTGCTGATTTCTTCCCTCCTACAAATAGGCTTTGTTATTTCACGTTTTATTTTGGAGCTATTATTATCTCAGCTCTGCAGCTGAGACTGCAGAAAGTAATTCCTGCAACTGAGGGTCTGCTCTGCTTTGAAATCTGCAATGTGAAGGTTGTCAGACTGACAGAAATGGCTGGATACATCTGGATTATTTTCATTAGTTTTCTTTCAGTACCACTGGAAAACTTGAAGGAACTAAGTCCTAACTGAATTTAGACTATGTAAAGACATGGTGTACTTTTGAGGACACAGAAACTTTATCTCCACAAAAAGTTGATCGCAATTTTTATTCACTCACTTCTTTCTATCATGGAGACTAAACCTAGTTTATTTAAGAAGCAGATGAACAACTAGTCCTTCTGACTCTTTTTTCAGTCAGGTTTTTCTTTCTTGTGACTGAAATGAGAGGAGTTTAACATGAGTGACAGTCCATTTGTGTCCAAAACACAGCAGTGTGCCTAAACTCCAGAGCTGCACAGACTGTAGCCAGCAACGGGCCTGGCAGTTGTGCCGGCTTTGGTACAGATTGCTGCTGTGCCTGAGCCCAGAGGCTGTGCAGTTGCATGGGACTGGAGTGTGAGTTGTGAGTTGGTAAGTGCTGCTGGATGCCAGAGCTGTTTGTGTGCAGAATTAGCTTGGGTGTATCTGTTGTGGTCGTGAGTACTTACAGTGTGAAGATACTGTGTGCATTTGGGCTAGTTTGGGTGCAGCAGAGTTAGCATGTGCCTGGCTGTGCTAAACCTTGAGGCTCCTGGCTGTGCTGAAGGATTTTAATGCTGTTAGAACCAGACTATTTGTCACCTCTGTTACCAGTGTAACCTATATAATATTGTCCTTCTATTTCCCCTGCACTGGAAAATTGTGTGGATATTGTTCCCAAAAGGTGAAATTGAGTCCATTTGATGAAAATTAATGAATATGTCTGTCTGCATACAAAATACTCAGCTTAGTCTTTCTTTTCTGTGGGAAGCTGCTTGACTTTGTACTCACATGAGAAGTTGAAGGATACCAACTTGTGTAGGGTCTGCTCACCCTTTCATCTGTGATCCTAAAAGTTTCCTAAGAGAAAATGTTTGTCTGTGTTTTGTAATTGTGTCATTTGCCTCTGAAATCCAGCAGCTGATGTATAGTGCAGATCCCTCTGCCCAGTGTTCCATTGCCAAGAAAAACTTGTATCCATTGTGAGCTGCAGAAGGTGCTTGAGTTGGCAGAGTGTAATAATTCAATGGAAACTTAGCCATGGGGTTTGGGTAATCCTCTTTAGGTCACCAAAAGGTTCTGGGAGGCTGTGTAACACTTGCAGATTTCCAGAATAGGTAATAGGGTACTCTCTGTTTTTAATTTTAATTGTACTTTACAGGGTGTGATACCTCCACTTAAAAGTTTTACAGTGCCTTATCCTACCAGGTGTAGACATGAGGTTAGAGCAAAGGATTCTGCATGTTTATTCCCTGCTGTACTGTTGGGATGCTGCTGTCCTGCATGTTTCATCAGGGAGTGGTGACCCAGTTCAGGCAGGTGGGGATGGGATGGGGATGGCAGTGTTCTGCAGCTGAGAAGTGCCACCATTGAGCAAGGGCTCCCTCGGACTACAACTTATTTAACAAACCTGGGTTTGGGAGCTCATAGTAGAGGGAAGGTTGTGCTTAATGACACACCAGTACTCTAATAAAGCTCTTGCCTTTATCTGAGTTGATGGAACATTGATTCACTTTACATGTGAGTTTCATGGGGAAGCATTGCTCCAACCAGTGGAATATCATGTCATTTTGAAGGTACCTCTGTTTTAAGTGCTGCAGTCTGACAGTGTATGGGGCAAAAGGCCAGTGTATTGTAGCACATTCTGTAGCTCCTGTAAATCTCTGTGCAGCTGCACATGACTGGGTGTCTCGGTTTCCCTTTGTGAAGTCTTTTTGCCTTGTTTTCATCATTCATTCCACTTCTCTGAAGCATGAAATGTGGCTTGGAGCTCAGCCATCTCAGCTTTGCAATCGTGTAAGCTCTAAATGTGCTGTGTGTGGCAGCTGCTCTATAACCAGCTCCCTAAAAAGCGACTGGTGTTTACTACACATGGCGCTGTGTCCTGGGAAGGCAGGTTGAGGTCTGTGTTTAAGAACAAATGCAGCTTCAGTGCTTGGTGATGGTTACGGCACAGGCTTATGTTCATGTTGAATTACATATTTTAGAGTCCACTTGGTGCTCAGGTAGAAGACCTTGTTGGTGATCTCCTCAACAACGTGTTTGTGTCAACCAGATGAACACTGAACAGCCAGGAGCAGCTTAAGATTCTCAACTCTACTGTCCTACAAGCACAGCTTGTATCTGATCTGGAGGGGTCATTTCTAATGGAATGGGGGTTCAGACATTTTTAGGTCGGTTTGCCAGGACCAACTGGTTTGGTAATAATTGCTGATAGTTGCAGAAGTGTCTTTATGGAATGCACTCCTTTATAAGTGCCTGGTGGATGATCTGTTTTCCCACTTCAGCAAATGGCAAATGTATTTTATTAGTTTGGAACCAAAATATTGATATTTAGTCCTCTCCACGTATTTATATATATGTCTTAAGTTTCTTCACAGCTGGAGTTCCCCATTCCTGCTTCTAAGAATGGTAATGTGATTTCTGAGGGAGACTTCCTGCCCCTTTCTTCTCCTAGTCCCTGTCTGTCCTTCCTGGGGTCATTGCAGTGGGAAAGCAGTCAAATCAATTAAGCAGCTCTGTGTTATGTTAGGAAGGCACCAAGTGTGGAGCAGAGTGAAGAGAGCAAGGTTGCTGATGCCATATTTTTCCCTCCCTCAGGAATCCTGTCTATAGAACAGCTCATCAGCCGTGTTGGTGTGATTGGGGTGACACTCATGGCTTTGCTGTCAGGATTTGGGGCTGTCAACTGTCCATACACTTACATGTCCTATTTTCTCAGGTAACTGCAGCCTTATGAAGTAATTGTCCTGCTTTTTGAGATTATTTTTTTGCTTTTCCTGTAGTATTATTTCAAGTTTTTTTGTTAGTTTTTTTTCTGAATCTAGCTGCTGTCATGTCTGGATGCTAAAATCATTTCCACTGCTGCTGCATATTCCCCTTATACAGGCTTTTCTTTGTCTCATGTGCACATCTCCTCTGAAATGGGGTAGCAGGCCTAATTGGGAGTTTTTATTTTGCAGGAACGTGACAGATGCAGATATTCTGGCTCTGGAGAGACGGCTCCTCCAGACTATGGACATGATTGTTAGCAAGAAAAAACGGTGAGAGGACAACAGTAGCACGAAATTATTTATCTCAAGGATTTGCAGTCAGCGTGGTACAAGATGGTTCTTGAAGTGGTATAAGATGGGTTTTGAAATCTGAATTGGGTTGAGCTGTGTGGTGTTTTTTCTGGCCTGATACATGACTGTTTTAACACTAAGCAGTGCCCTTTGTGGCTGCAGTGGCACAGATTAGGCTTCCAAGGCCATTTGTAACTCTCTGCTGGCAGCATAACTAATCTGTGGGATGGGCACCTTTCTCTCCTGGCAAGTCAGGGACCCTTAGACCACTACACCTGGCTCTTGCTTGTGGTTTCAGGTTTGTACATATGGTAGATCCTAATCAAAGCTGAAGCAGGATAGTGAACTGGTGTGGACACAGCTATATTCTTGCAAAGAGCAAGGTTTATGTTGCTTAAGTTTTGAAGAATTGCAAAACATTGCTAACGTGGATACTGTAGTACACAAGTGTGCCATCAGAACTCTGCTGGCATTGGTTAAGTTTATTACATGTCCCTCAAGCTAAAAAACCTACTTTCAGAAACAATGTAATTTCTTTTACACTGAAAAGATTTTTGCCTGCATATTTCATGTCAATATTACGTATTTCACGTCCTGTTAGTAGTGCAGAATGAAATCCAGTTACTGGAGTCACTTCACAGGTTTGACTGTCTGATCACCAGTCTCCTAGACTTTACTTTTGGTGCCTTAATGTTTCAATGGAAGCTTTTAACATTTTCAGGGGAGCTTTTAGATAGCCTAACCTTGCCAAATTTACCACCATGTGTGTATCTGCTGATGAGTATTAGCTGATGGAAGTGTAGTTAAAGCATAACCTCCTTCCCCTTTGAAAATATTCAGTGGTGAACAGCTGTTAACTCTGTATTTGTGGTCATGTGTGAGATGGTAAGTAGTGAGAGAATTTATTTACTCAGGTTTAATTGATTTAATTGACTGGAAGTACACTAAAAGACTGCCCTTGGAGTTAAAAGATAGTGCTGTTTCTGCCTCTGCTCTTTTGTTTTGTACAGTGGTTTTGGGCTTTTGGTCCAGGGAGAGTGATGTTGGAGTAAAAGTCAGGATGCTAAAGGCTTGTAACTAGCTAGCACTTTCTTGCCTTCCCATGCCAGGAAATCTTCTGAATATGGCAACTTTCTAACCATTATGAAGAGCCATGTATTAGTCACTTGGTAAATTATAATGAAGCAACTCTGTAGATTTTGTTCTCTTTTTTGCTTTGATGAGGAGCAATGGCTTGCATGATTGGACTTTTTGATCATATAAAGCCAAATTTGAAAGGTTAGATATGTATCAGTCCAAATGCAACCAAGTAATTGGCAGAACAAGTGGGAATAGCAGTATTTTCAATGCTGCAGTTCCATAAATTGTCAGTGATGTGCTGGCCAACTTCTCAGCACTACTGATAGTTCAGAATTACCAGTGAGCACAGGAATTGTAAGGCAATAGAACATAAAGGTTTTTGTTTTCTTTGCTGATCCTGACATTTCTTCTCATGCCAACCCTTATTCAGGCTGGCTTTGTAGTCAGTAGGAGATAGTTGGTGAAAGTTGTTTGCCCTGAGGGTTTTTTGCAAGGAATCACTTTTCTTTCCTTCCAGAGCACAATCAAGTAAAGCCTTATGGAAACTCACCTCTAAGGCTGTCAGATTCTTTATACTCATTCTTGCAGGTGTGACACAACTAATCCTCAGGTTTGAAATGCCAGTATTGCTTCATTTGGATCATGTTAGAGTCAGATCAGCTGATGTCACACACAAATATCACATAACATCATTACCAGTCTGCACAGAGTGTGTGGGGTTTGCCTGTGGATCTTTTCTGTGAGGTCTCCAGAACTCCTGACCACTGTGTGGATACAGAAATCCCTGCCACCTCTCAAAAGAGGAAATTTGCCTTTGTGTATCTATAGCCTTGTGCTTCACCTGGACATTGCTGCATTTTTGCTGCAATGCTGTGGATCATTTGGGATGGACCATGTGAATCTGTGTACTGTGAAGAAAGCAAGGATTAAAAATGCATTTCTTACATTTGGCAGCTATCAGGTTTCTAAGATGTCTGTTATTTGTAGTCTATGGCCAAATGTGCATACATGTGTATGTAGGATGCCCCAAGGGTGTTTCTTTTGCTGATGTGAAAGGAATGATGGAATGATTTTAAATTTTTTTTATTATGCTGCTTATCAACAGCCTTGAAGAGGGCTCAGTGCCAAATGTAGCAATGCTGGCTGCAGCTACAAGAAAGGAACTAAACACCACAGAATCATGGATCATCCTGAGAATCCTGTGAATAATTTTCAGCTTAGGAGTGGATAACTTGCTCACAAATTTCTGTGGGGAGAAATGTGAGGGAACGAGACCAGAAGCCGACGCTGCTCGTGGGGATTATGGAAGTGTGAGGGACGATACACAGCTGCTGCTGGAGTGTTGGAATGAACTTCAGGAGTCATGTTCAGATTGCCTGAGGCATCCAGTGGTTCAGTCCAAGAATGGATTTGTGTGTTTCTGCTTAGTAACAGCTTGTCATGCAGCCCAGCAGTGAGTGACAGCATATCAGGGAGTGCTCTGCACACCATCCAGAGCTCACAGCTCCATGGAAAAGGCGGATGTGCAGTGATAAAGAAGAGATGTCCAAGGAGAGGGAGGAGCATGAGAAGTCTTTTAATTCCTGAGCTTGAGATAACAGTCATGTGTTAGAGGAAAGGAAAGCAACTAATCATATGACTAAGAAATCCATTTGAATTCTGAATTTTTAACTGGGTTTAAAACCCTTTAGGACTGAAATAGGGTCCAGAATTGAAGACTTGGGAAGTGTATCATTGAATCTCACTTAATTAGATCTGGGCTCTACTCCAGAGCTAATCAGGACAATTTTACGTAGCAGGATGGGTGTTTAGGGGAAGAAAAAAGGGTCATCTCTTTTCTGTGAGTTTAGTTTAACAGCATCTTCTGAGAAACTGGTGGATTTTTCTTTTTACTTGTTTTGATTTTTCATAAAGATATTATATTCCTGAGGACTTGTGTTTTCTGTTCTTTCAGGATAGCAGTGGCTCACAGGACAATGTTCCAGAGAGGAGAAGTGCATAACAGACCCACTGGCTTCTGGGGAATGATAAAAAGTGTCACAACATCTGTTCCTGGCAGTGAAAGTATCCTTCATCTGCATGCTGGCACCTGCCTCGGGAGGTGGATCCAGCTTTCTTTGTTTTGAGAGGTAGAGCGTTAGTTGGGACAGTCACAAAGCATTTGTGTTTCAACACATTTCAAGCCTAATGTCTACTGGGAAGTTTGTTCTCCAGCACTGTCTCATGTTTTGCCCAGGCCTTGGGCACAGTTTTACTGTGACACAGGCAGAAGATTTACGTTTCTGCCCTGCTCTATAAATGTTCTGTTGCATCACCATGGGTGTACAGCAGATCAGGGGACACTTGATGTGCATGCTTACCACAGAATCATAGAATGGTTTGGATTAGAAGGGACCTTAAAGATCATCCGATTTCAACCTTCCCTGTGAAGGAATCTGTTGGGAGTGACAAGGATCTGTACTTCTAACAGAGCTGCTTACCAACGATTTCTGTCAGACCACTCGAAGTATACATCTTGCATATTTAAGGCTGAGGACTCTTCTTCCTCTCCTTTCACGCTAGCTGCTAAAATCAGAATTTGGCTATTTGACAGACTATTCATAGTAATCACTAATCTCTTGCAGCAGTTACTCAGCAGTTTTGTTTATGAAGATGATCTGAGATGACATACTGTGAGATGCACTTCAGTGGCAAGGGACACTGATCAAAGTGGAGCAGCAGTTTTTGAGAGCTCTGGTTCTATTCTGTGATGTGTTTCCCAGGCAAAGAAATGAAGGCTTTTGCACAACTGCCAGAACACTGTGTCCTGCTCTTTAAGCTGAGGTAGTGTGCATAAGGTTATATCCTTGAGATTTCTTTGCTATTAATGAAGAGCATGAAGACTGAATGACAAAGCTGATCTGGATCTAAGAAGAGACCAGACCATTAGATGTGGCCTTTGGGCTGAAGATGGGGAATGTTTTGTTCTTAATTAAGAGTTTATGATGTGTTCTAGCCTTGACTATGTTGGTTTGCCAGATCTGTCTCTTATCCAGCAAGAAGTGGATGCCTTGGAAGAATTGAGTCGGCAGCTTTTCCTGGAAACTGCTGACTTGCATGCAACAAAGGTACACAGCAAATAACTGCCCATATGGGTGTTGGGAGGTCAAAATAGTTTGAAAGAGTCCATGTGTTATGAGAAATTGAAACCTGTTTAATAGGTCAATGTATGAAATGTTGTAATGCAGTGGAATGAGGATCTGTTCCTTTAACTTTGAGGCTAAGATCCCCTTCCAGTTCAGATCTATCCTTAAGTCTGCCCCATGGCCCTATAACCACAAGCTTAAGAATTAACACTTAGGAGTTGAGAAACATTTGAATTAAAAGATGTAGAAAGATAAGGCTGTGCTTGCTACTGTTGGTGCTCTGTTACAATTATATGTTGTGGGTTGTGAAAATGATGTATTTGTCTATGCTTTACTCCCTCTCTCTCTTTGTATTTCCAGGAGAGAATAGAGTATTCCAAAACTTTCCAGGGAAAATACTTTAACTTTTTGGGTTATTTTTTCTCTATCTACTGTGTCTGGAAAATTTTCATGGTATGTAAAAGTTTATTGCATTTTCTGTAGATGTATGCAAATATACCCTGCATAGATTATGCTATGCATGCAGTTCATTAAGTAATGCTCTAGTTTCTTTAAAATCCAGAAATTCTGAAAGAAACTGGCCCTTGGTTGAAATAAAGCTCTGGATCTGACTTTTTCTATACAGCATTAGACCAATAATTCTTACATGGATGTGTTTTGTGCCTTCTTTGGCACTCTGACCACCCCCTGCCCCTTCCTTGGTAGTACAGTACAAGAGTCATGCATGAGCCTCACCTGTGAGAGTGAGAAATGCTTTTGCCTTTTTTGCTTGAATGTAAATCCATCTCTTGCAGGCAACCATCAATATTGTATTTGATCGTGTGGGGAAGACTGATCCAGTCACAAGAGGAATTGAGATCACTGTAAATTACCTGGGAATCCAGTTTGATGTGAGCTTTTATTAATTCTTACAGCCTTTTCAGCAATTCAAATCTTATCTAAATTAAATCATCCTGCTGCTAGGGAGAAAGTGATAGACCCTGAGAATATGGTTTTGGCTTTTGACTTATTGAGGAGGAAAGGCAAATGTGCCATGAACGTTGTTTTCCCACTGATTTTATGCTGAGATGGTGATGTGGTCTTGCCAGAGAGGAGAAATAGAAGCACTTTAGATAATCTGCTTAGATTAATACATTCAGCTACAGAGCTACAATTAATTTTGGTTGTTTATGCAAAGAGTTATTCGGTCATTTACACTTTAAAAACATATCTTTGTGAAAATGGGGTTCTTTGTGATTGGAATGAATTAAATCTCCTTGTCTTGTGTTTGGAGTAAACAGTTGCTAATACATTTGTGAAAATTTCTGTTATATAAACCTGTCTACAGTGGACATCTGTACAATTAGAAGAGACAAAAACCCTGAAGAATTGGTAGCTATATAATGTGGTGTAAATGAGGTTATTGTTAAAGTTTTAACTGTGTTTTTGTTGATACAGGTCAAATTCTGGTCTCAGCACATTTCCTTTATTCTTGTTGGAATAATCATTGTTACCTCTATTAGAGGGTTGTTAATCACACTTACAAAGGTAAGAACCAGGACTCTTAAGTGGTTTTACACAGAGAAATTAATTATCAGATCTTTACCTTTTGATGGAGCAAGTACTATATAAACTTCCAGTATGCATTTATGTTTAAATATCTGAATATAAATTCTTGCAGAGGGGGGAAAGATATTTCCCCAGACTCTGTCAGGAGGGGATCTAGATGTCAAGATGCTAAATGTAAGCAAGGTTTCAAAATGATGCTGTAGCCAAGGCTTATTAAGTAAGGTTGATGAGATGTGATTAAAAGCATTTGGATTACTTAATTTAAGCTGCTGGAAGGACTGAAAGGCATTAACTCAACAGACATGTGACTCATTGACTTGACCTGGCCTTTGGTACCTATGCTTAAACTTCTCGGTATTGTTTTGTGATTTTTAACACAAGGTGCAACTGACTGAGGGAGATTGATATTTCAGACTAGGGTTTATGAAAGGTTTATTAAGATAGGCTACAGGTAGCCCTCTAGAGTATGGTTTTGATTGGGTTATTTTTAGATGAAAAGGTATTGAACAGTATGTACCTTTGGTATGTCCTAAGGCACATCAGACTTACCTAACTGCTTATTTCCAATGTTTTTGGTTTTTTTCCCCTAGTTCTTCTATGCCATTTCCAGCAGCAAGTCCTCCAATGTTATTGTTCTGCTGCTAGCACAGATAATGGTGAGTATGGAGAACCATGGGCACACTCACGTGCATTTCTGCATGCATACCTTGTGTGTGTTTAAACACATAACAATACCTTTGTGTGCTGCCCCCTGCTAGCCACAGAGCCTGTGCTGAAGCCTTAACTGCTGTCCCTGTTTTAACTTTCCAGGGAATGTACTTTGTGTCATCAGTGCTCCTGATCCGCATGAGCATGCCTCCGGAATACCGCACCATTATTACAGAGGTCCTGGGAGAGCTCCAGTTCAACTTCTATCACCGGTGGTTTGATGTGATATTCCTAGTTAGTGCCCTGTCCAGTATCCTCTTTCTCTATTTAGCACACAAACAAGCCCCAGAAAAGCATATGGCCCTCTGAGGCAGAACTGCAGCCATGCACTGCTCTCTGTCCTGTCAGCTGCACTGCTGCAGCTCCTGTGGATTGCAGAACTCGGAGAGACAGGACTGCTGGGTGTGTTCTGGCAGTGTAACTGCAAAACTTGGAGAGACAGGACTGCTCTGTGTGTTCTGGCTCCTTGAACCTCCACACGTGTCATCATCCAGCTCTGTGGCTCATTTTGTTCAGTGCCACAGCTGGAAGGGATGGGGGTGTGTCTATTAAACTTGAAACAGTTCATTGCCAGGCAATAAAAGCAATCCTGGATACACCACTATCCAGGGGCATCAGAACTTGTGTAGGCTGGCTAAGGGAACACCTTCTGCTGTTGGAACATCATCTTCACAGAAGGCACCAAGAAATGCAATTTTTCTTTTGAAAATCAACTTATAATTGGGATTTGGAGGACAGCAGTTCTGGAAATGAATGTGTGAGTCTATGGAATTAAATAAGCTTTTGTAATATGCAAGTATCACAGTTGTTTTTTGTCACTCCCAAAGATTTGGCTGGATTTGAGCCAGAAGATGGTTAGAATTTGCTGTCTGGTAGAAGTGAAGTGGAGAGAACTCCATTTCTGTACGTAGTGTGTGTCACTAGTACCTACTGTCCTTAGGAACTGGAGATTTGCTTTCTCTTACTAAGTGTCAGTTTTTCTCTCTGCATAAGTTGAACTTAGGTTTTGGGTTCCTCTTTGCTAGAGTTCAGTGTCAAGTCGAAGACCACTGCCATGCCTGGTTTACATTGTATGTTACAAATTTTATACCTGTGACTTAAACTTTTAGGTTCTCATGGCCACACTCTGAGGCTTTATTTTATAATTGTTCTGGAACATAAAATTGTAGGTGGTGAGAGTAAGCCTTGGAGGGGGGAAAATAACCACGCTAAGCAATTTATTTCTCTATTGTCTTTGGTGTACAGGAAGGAGGCAAAGTACACAACAGCAGTATTACAGAACCATTTATGTCACATTCAATACAACATGGTGGTGACAAATGTGCATGACTGAATTACATGCACTGTTCTAATCCACAGCTGTATGCAGAGGAGACAGAATAGTGATTAAACTTCTTGAGTTGTGAATTACACAGTTAGCCTTAATGTTTGAAAGAAATTTCTGCAATGTGAGCAGAGAAAAGGATCATAATCCACAGAGTACCTGGGATTTTGCCATTTTAGAGTAGCTGTACTGCTGTAAGCAGAGATGCCACAGAGATTGAGGTGATGGATTAGGGGGAGAGCTGCCTTTCCTGGGAGGTGGGCAGAAATCAATTGGTCGTTATTAAGAGCTTATCCGTAACAGGCTAAGATGTTTATGAATCTATAAAACATTTCCAGCTTCTGCTGCAGGACACTTAATTATAAAGTTGCAGTTCTTTAAGCCTTTTCAGAAGCCAGTGACTGAGTGCCTACTTCACAAGGCAAAAATTGTGCCAGTGGTGCACAATTGCAGAGTGTTAAATGGATGCAAGTTACACTGAAGTGTTTATTGCATCAAGAGTTTGCAGTCCTTTATGGCTCTGGCGCTCCCTGGAACAGCTGAGTTCTGAGAGGTGGAATAGCAAAGAAGAGCTGAAGAAAAGATTTGGCAGGTTTCTTTCTTCTTGTTGGCGTGGTTTTGTCTGCTCACAACTTTGTGTCGTCGCTGTTGTCATCGTCAGCTCTTGTGGAGGCAGCTGATTGTGAGGAGGAAGATGAGTCTGCCTGCAGAGGAATAACAAAGACATTGTCATTTTTTTCAATTTGTAAACATGTTTGATAGTCTACACGGTTGCAGACTCTTGTTTTCATCTGCACTAATCACACACTGTTTAGATGGCAGAATGAACCAACAAATACCATAATGGTTGAAGAGTTTTTTGGTTAAGTATGTTTTGAGAGAAATTTGTTCAATAGAGTGTTTATGTTGTTGAATTCCCAGATCTGCTCAATTTGAACACAACAGTAGTGCTAACTTCTGCAAAATGCAACTTGGGGACTAAGACATTCTTGAAAAAACTTGCAGACAAGGCTAACGACAAATAAATGGGAAACACTATTGGTCTTACCTTTGTAAGGTAAGGTCTGTCTCTTTTGCATGATCAGAAAATAAGCATTTTGTAACAAGGTTAAAAGTGTTTCAAGAAGTAATACCTTCTTGCTTTTCTGACTTTAGTCATGCTTCAGATTCTTACTAGTGGCATGAAGTGAGTAAAATAATTTCAAAATCAGCACATTGCCTGGAAAATGTTATCATAACCTATCAGTTGCTGTTCCTTCTCCAAAATGACCCATTTTGAAATATTTCAAAATATTTCATGTGGTTTTCACAAATGTTATGTTTTCTGTGTATTTAAGCACTTTCCCCTCCACTTCCACAATTGTATTGCCTGTTTCACATCATTGGGATTACTCTATTTGGATTATCCTGTTCCATGAAATCTCTTGTATGTGCATTCTTTGTGTGATTTAATCTTGCATTAAAGATACTCACCTGTATCACGTGTGGGCAAAAGAAGAGTTCTTGTGATAATTAACAGCTTTCCTTTTAATAACTTGCAAAAATCCAGGCTCAACAATCCTAGCTCTGGAAAACTTACTACCTGAAAAGAAAGTTCTTTTCCTATGCTCTGAGCGATTCCTCAGCATCTGCCTAATGCAGGATTACTCACCCTTTCCCTTGGCTCAGGTGAGTTCCTCTCTGGCTCTGATGGATGGTTTTCTGTGTGAGCAGGAGGCTCAGAAGTGTCAGAGTCTGCCATGGAGGCTGTGATGGGAATGTTCTGGCCTTGGAAGTACCTGTAAGCATCTTTGCTGCACACCAGCAGTGTCAGTCTGTCCCCACTGCTTTTGATCCTTGCCACCACTTTGTCATAGGATTCATCAGTCACGTTCACTCCGTTCACTTCCACCAGGAAGTCGTTGTTTTCCACACCTGCTCTGCCTGCTGGCCCCTGGCTTTGTACCTGCAGAGGGGAGTTCAAAGCAGGATATTGGCATAAAACTTGGAAAGATGCATCAACAGCTGAGGATTAGCTGTGTTATGGTGAAATAAGCAAGGGAAATGGGAGTTCGTGGGGCAGGAAGGAACTGGGATGGGCAATGGGCCCAGAAATTATAAACATGGAGCCCACCACTTTGAGATGTTAAGATGCTTCTTGATCTCGATAGACTTCCATTATAGGAATGTGGCATGGTAGAACCATGAAGACAGGTAGGAAAACAAGTTTTCTAACTATTTGGAGGTCTCTCTGTCCAATAACTTCAAAGTTTAGAACAAATCACAGATCCTTTAGTAATAGGTGGAACCCCACCTCTGAAGAAAGCTGAAGTTACAGATGTAATTTGGGACAGAAGGAAACAGTTTGGCTTTTACCAGCTATGGAATTCAGAGAAGGTGGATAGAAGTAGGGCAAAGGCATCTCTCCTATATTTAAGCTGTTCTACAGTAAAAACCAAGTCTGTCTAAAATACTAATTTTAGTGTGCCAGACTCATGAGCAAAAGCAAAAATAATGCAAAAGCTGATTCGTCCTCCCCTCTAGATGTCTAACAGAAAAAGGAATGTTTTTCTGGTGCTCATATTTTATCTTGGCCCAACAATGTCAGTCTGACTTAAACAATTCTAGCTCTGATCTGAGAACATTGGAAAAGAGACTTGTGGCTTTTCTTGCATTTGTTTGCAGGATGGAGGGGAGGAAGGTGCCCAGCAGACTATTTGAGCTTCTCCTTGCTCCTCATTCTTCATTAGTACCTCAGTAATGAACAATCCAGGTTTGTTCTTGATCATGTTTAAACTGAAACCAAATCCATTAGGTCCTTTCACCATCTTGCAGATCCTTGGCTTATGGTTCACTTTCTGCTCAATGTGCAGCTCCACTCTTTCCTCCATTTGAGCTGGGGTTGAATCCTGTGCTTTGTAGTAGTAAGAGAAAGGGGAAATTTGAGCCTGAAAAAAAGTGACAAAACTACATTAAAATAAAAACTTCTGCTGTGAAATCTGTTTCAGGCTCTCATGCTCAATATATTTTGTTTGAAACTTTGTTAATGACTCAGACTTTAGCTGTGGTGAAGAATTCTTCCCTATTCCCTCTGAGTGGAAAACTAGTGTTGATCTATGTGAGAAAGGAACTTTGTTACTCATAAATGGTTACATAGTCATGTAACTCTGAATTTGATGTCTTAACAGCAAACCTTAACCTTTCTTGTGATGTGTTTGAATTTAGAATTGTTCCAGTAGCATCTGTAAAAATCAGGAAGAGGCTAAATGTTTGGGTGTTTAGTGACTTCCTGTAAGTGGAGTTGCTGGAATACAGGTATCTCTTAGACATTTCCTGCAAGCTGAAAAAGTGTTGGAGCAGATTTGTTGTTTCATTGTGATAAATTATCAATTCCTAGCAGTAGTTTGCATTTTCTTACCAATTTGTACATGCTGTCAGTTTCCTTATCCACCACCAACAGGGAGGTCCTTTCCTCAGACTGCTTAATTTTTCCCACTACACTTTCATGATCCAGCCCATCCACTTGCTCACCGTTGACAGCCACTACAATGTCATTATCCTTTAGACCTGCCGTGGCTGCTGGGCTTCCAGAATCAACATCTTTGATTATGTGATCTAAAATAAGAAGGTGAGAAAGATCCCTCTGAAGGCAGAGCTTGGTGAGTTTTAAAGACATTGAAAAGCAGAGGTAAAATGGTCAGAATTGCATTTTGTGTTGTGGCTGCTTTCCCTGAGGATTATTCCTAGCTGGCCAGTGAGAAGCCAAAGAGAATGGAGAGCTGCAAACATCATAAAGGGAGAAATGTTCCAACAACTGTCACAGTCTGTTAAATTGCATCTTACCGCCGGTATTTTGTTCCATCCGGAGATAAAATCCATACCCGCTTTTTCCTTTCTCGATCTCAATAAGTCGTGGTTTGAGGGGAAGCAACCTTAGGCTGGCGTTCTCTTTGCTCAGTGACATCTTCTGGCTTGTGAAATAGCTGTCTGTTTCTTCATTTGAAAGTAGAAACATAACATGATTTTCAGACTTCTTTACCTGTGACAGCACATGTACAGTCTCAGATGTCACCCCTTCAACAGCATGTGGGAATTGTGGATATTTGGTAACTGGTGCACTGATACATGGCAGAGTCTGGGTGCTGTTAGTCCAGACCTACTGCTACTATAAATTGATTTTTCTTTTTTTCCCCCTCCAGTCAGAAATCGAGACCATGACAAAGTCAGGGCCATATAATATATGAGGAAATTTTCCATATTTCATACTGTGTTCTGACCTGTAGGGAATTACCTGTGGAGGGCAATGGGGGTGGCACACAGTGCTGTAGAATCCAGGGAGCCTGAGCAGATGGTATTTGGCTATTCTAGGTGTGGAACTCTACCATATAAACTTATCATGCCATCTATACCTCTATTTTAGATTACAGTGGCAGGAGTCAAGTTTCTGTCACTTGTGTCCTCTTCTGTCTCCCTGTATTACCGACTCTGAGGTGAAGGGGTTTTTTTCTGTCTGTTCAACCTCTCCAATCCTGTCTTTCTCTTAGTCCTTTTTACTCTAATGGGTGCTCTTTCTAATGGGTTCTCTTTTTACTCATCTTAACCAGTGTCACTCTGCTGCTGGTGTTGCAGTAACTCAAAAAAAGACAGGTGTTTCATGATTCCATAGTTAGCCATGTGCACTGAATGCTGCTGGAATGCTGGAGTCTCATGGCTCTATGGAATCTCTTCAGCTCCAGCTGTGTTTTAGCAGTGCCAACAGCAGAAAGCTGGAAGCCTCATTAGCCGTGTTCTTTGCAGCCAATTAATGAAATCACTTGCACAGTGATTTTCATGAGTTTTAGACTTCTTCACAGAGAAAGAGACTACTGTCTAAAATCATGAAATCTTTCCTGCTCCATTCTGACTGTATCATCAGAGGCTTCCCTCTTCCTGCCTGGAAGCCACATTTGATGACTTGCCCTCCTGCCATTAGGAGCATTTCCAGGACTTCTAGGAAATGAATTTATTTCATAGGGTTCCTGGCAGCAGTATACTATCGTTATTTAGAATTCTTTGGCCTGTCTTGATGGCAGTGTTCATTGAGAGGCAGTTGACAACAGAGCCAGTGCAGAGAGCTATGCTGATGTGTTGATGATACATGAACAGCACTCCCAAGATTTACTGTGAAGGGCCTTGATCAGCCAGCCTGGCCTCCCCAGTAACCCTGATAGGTTGCTGTGAAAGCAGGCCAGAATAAGAAGATAAATCAATACCTTTTCCACCACTTCCTCGTGTGTGTCATTTTCCACATTTTTCCCATTGATTTCAATCAGGCGATCGTTATTTTGGACACCAGCCTTTGCAGCTGCTCCTTGTGGTGAAATCTCTACTATGAACAACCCCTTCTGTCCTAAAATAAATGAAAACTCATTACACAGGGTAAGTCACTGCAATAGGCCTGAATATAGTGGTTAAGGAAACTCAGCACTGATGTCCTCAGAGACTCTTGGCCTCTTCTTGCACACAGATTGCAGGAGCACCACGAGCCTTCCACACAGACACTACTCTGTCTCTTACTCTGGCCTGGAAAAATCACTTCAGTGCTGGAAGGAGATGTTTGTTTGCTATCTGCAGCTCAAACTGGTGTTTATTCCCCTACCAGGAGTGCAAAGCAGCTGATTAACATAGCTGAAAGGGATTTGATTTTTGGTCCCTCCCACCCTCCTCTCCCCCCATCACTTTGAAGACAGAAGCTGCTTTTACTGTTGTTTTATACATTTCATAATTTCCTGTGTTTGGAAGCCTTCTATGTTTGATCCTTCAATTATACTGCATTCCAAAATACCCTTTAGAGGGCTCTTTAGAGGTGGTGCTTTCCAGAAGCCCTCCCTCTTCCGTTGACTGGCCTTGGAAAAAAGGCATATATGGAAAAGTTTTTAAATCCTTTTCTTTCTAAATGAATTAACTTACAAATCAGAAAAATCAGAGAAAGTATTTCTTACAGCTGTCTAGAAGCTCATGTTCTGATTCCTAAGCTGATTTTGAGGAATGGAACAGGACTTAACACATTGAGTGTATATCTCGTGTTTGAGCAGGGACTGTAATTTTGGTTTTGTAAGTGGGGTTAAATAACAAGCAGAAAACAGCTTATTATTTTTCCCTCTTTTTTTTTTGGTCTGTTTTCCATCCCATGAGAAGCATGATCCTCAGAAAACCTTGTGCTGCATACGCTGAAGAGAAATGTACTGGAGATGGATCTGAACTCATCCTGCTACTTCTCACTTTCTTTCTGTTAGCAAGAACAGTTTGTGTGTCCCCATTAGCCTCCACATGTTAACTGTGGTTGTCTCTGTCCCTGCTGCCAGATATACACATTTTAATATATATATATATATCCAGTTTCTTGTTTCCAGGCTCTCACCTTCTGTGCTTTTCAGGGAGAAGCCATAGCCTGTCTCCTCCTTCACCAGGTAGCAGAGCCGGGGCTGTGGAGCTCCAGTGGTTCCTCTGTTGGCCATGGATGGTGGGCACTGCTGCTCCTGCTGTTGTCCTGTGGATGTCTTTTGACCCAGCTCTTCCAAGTTCACTCCCTCCTTTTGTGCCTTTTCATAGGATGCATCATCCAGAACAAGGAGCACAACAGAATTCCCACTGCTTCTGACAATCTCCACCACCTGTAATGGACAAGGGCAAATGGAAGCAGGCACTTGAGTGATGGAGCTGAAAGAAGAAAAGCTGCACTGTCCACTGTCTTTACTGTCTCACCCTCCTGCTCATGCACTGGGGAGGCACCCCAAAGACATTCCATGCCCATGGTGGGTAATTAAAGATGCAGGGGGATACTCAGGGCAGTTGGCTCTGCCCCTCGATTTCCTAGTCATAAAAGCTGGAAGAAAAAGCTTCACGCAGTGTGGGAAGACAGTTTGTAAAGATAGTGCAGAAGGCAATTTTCCTCAATGAATTACAGCTGTACTGATAGCTGAGAAGTGGAGACAGCCTTGCCTGCCCAGTGAGGATGGGGGTTATAGAAGTGTGGGTTAGGTGGTCCAGAGTTAGTTGGAGCTGGATCTTCAGCCCCAGAGTGTGCTGCAGTTTGGGATGGAGTTGCTGGCTGTGCCATGAGGAGGAAGGGACATGTGGCTGTGCAAGGGACAGACAAGGTAAGAAGATGCTGTGTGAGGGACAGACAGGGTCAGGGGGCTGGGTAAGGGACAGCTCGGGGTTAGCCAGTCATGCAGAAGGAAACTTGCAGAGAGGAGTCAATGCTGTGTAGAGCTGCCTGTGAGGAAAGAAGTCAGAGTTGCCTGAAAGAAGTCCACTGAGAGAAGGCATGAAAAGCTTTTAATAAAGGATTGATGATGGTGTCAGTCCAGTCTGTCTCGACATAATTGCTACAACACAGCAGCTGTGGGCCTGGCTAATGGGGGCAGGGTGTGGATCCCGGACTGAACAGAGCTGTACCTGTGCATGTTCCTCCTTGTCCACAAAGACACCATTAACCCTGAGGACCCTGTCTCCATCCTTCAGGCCAGCCCTTTCAGCTGGGCTGTTGTGCCCCACGTTGCGGATGATGTGCCCTGCGGTGTCCTCCTCAACGCGCAGGAAGAACCCGTATTTCTTCTGGGGCTTCTTGGTCACTGTACACTCTCGGGGCTGCAGAGCAGAAGTCATCTCTACCAAACAGGATGGAAAAAATACCTGTGAGTAAGAACAGTAAGCTTAACTAGGGTATATTCCCTCTAATTACGTGCTGAGAGGATTTGCTTCAGAATTCCTGGGGTGGTTTTTTTTTGGGCCCCTGAAAATCCAGCTGTGCAAAGCTGAATTTAGTTAATAAGGCTAGAGCAAAGAAACCAAACTCTTTTCCCTGACCCTCCTTGCTTTTTTGTCTCTGTATCTCAAATGATGTTAAGCATAATGCAGAACTGAAATAAGAAAAGTCTGCCTGTGAAAACATAGTAAGGATTGAGGAGAGAGTGTAATACGAGGATTAAGTCTTACAGAGGAAATGAAGTTTTGGGAAAAGAGATTATAACTGGACTGAAGGGATTGTTCCCCTCCATTTGACCCTTGGCAGGCTACATGTGAGTACCGTCCCCAGTTTTGATCTCCCCAAGTATTTGACATACTGGAGCTAGTTGGCAGAGGGCATTTTAGTTCTGAAGCAAGTATTTAAGGAGGCTGCAAGAGCTGGATTTGTTCAGTCTTGGGAAGAGAAAGTAAAGGGAACTTCTTATTGATATCTTGCCACTGAATAACTGAATTGTGTGGAGAACACAGCCAGGCTCTTGGAAATTAACAGTGGGAGGATGAGAGGCAACAGACAGAGGCTGCAGCACAGCAAGGGAAGTTCCAACCAGCTTTTCCTCTTGGGGGCAGTTAGATACAGCTAGAGGTGTCCAGAGAGGCTGTGAAGTCTCTGTCCTTGGAAATACCTGGATTGGGCCCTGAGCAACCTCATGTAAGCTGGCCCTGTTTTTTATGGGATATAGCACCGGGCACCCTCTAAAAGTTCCTTCCTACCTAAACTGCTCTGTGATGTAAAGAAACTCTGTTTTGGGTGAAGCTTGTCACGCAGGAATACCACACATGGAAGGTAAGTAGCAGGTGGGGCCAGGGAACACCTCTCAAGGTATTGTCCTGCCAAAGATCCATGAAGATGGGGAAATTAGGCAGATGAAGACAAATTCCTCCAGTTGAAAAATCCAGGTAATTAGCAACCTTGGCTACTATTTTACTGGGAAGACTTTCTTCTGTCTCTTTACTGACAGAAGTCAGTTCTTTAGATCTGCTGGCAGTCAAATCCTTCTGTGAGAGCAACTCAGTGCAGAGCCACTGCTGTGGTTATCATGCTGCAGACTCTTTGCTATGGGAGCTGAGGCTGCACTGTTGATGTTACTTGGGCAGCACACAGAACAGCATGGATGTTTGGCACAGATGTCACTGGAACTGGGGAATACAGGAATTTCAGCTTGCAAGGATATGCAGCCTGCAGGTCACGATACACTTGTAGTTCATGGTCAGGTGCCTTGAGCATTTTTGAGTCTCTGTGCGTTGCACTGACATTAACTAATAAAGGGATGAACTTCCCTGTTGTTTGAAAGTGGTTTAGAACACATTAGACTGTATCAATTACAACTCAAAACAGCTTTTTTTAACAAATACTGGCAATCTATGATAATCCCAGAAATTAACATGCAAAACCTATACTACACAGAGAAACAGTAGGCTTCCATGGGAAAAATTATTTCTTCATATTTAGAAGTAGAGAGGAGGTTACAATGCACTGCATGCAACACCTTTTGATCTGTGCAAAATTATTTGTGTTGCAAAAAGGAGTTTTCAAAGGGAAAAGGGATTAGCAAAGAAGGAATTTCTTACCTGTGTATCTATGTAGAGGAGCCTTCACTGGAGTTCTCTTTTGCTGCTCCTCCTGTGACTGTACATGTAAGTAAGACTGGACTTTGATTGGACAAAGGTTGATTTAAAAGATTATTTATTTAACCAAGTTTCACTGAATGTGTGATATCTTTATAGGCTGTCTTGTCCTTGTGGGCAGAAGTGCTAGTCACATGCATTTCTCACCAGCTTTGCATTTTGTCCTACTGCTATTATACTCAAAAACTCACTCAAGGAGGTCATCCGAGGCAAGCCTGACCTTTGCTCTGGGCAAGAGCCTTCTCCTGCTCTGAGAAACATCTTAAAGGGAGCAGGTTTGGGTTGTGCTGGATTGACCTGAGCCAGCAGCATTTGCTTGCAGGTTAGGAAGTTACTGGTTAAAATCTGTATGCCCGTTGTTGGATGAAAAAAAAAAGGACTGTGGCAGGTTAACCTTCACCTGAGCCATTTTCACCTCCTTCCTCTACAGGACGTGAGGAGAAAATAGGATGAAAAAGCTTGAAGTATTCAAGATAAGGACCATAACTGGAGGAGATGCATTGAAAAAAAAAAGGGTTTTTGTAATTGAGGGGTGGGCTCTGACGTTTGAGGCCATAACATATGTGAAACATGCACTGCAGTCAAGTGATCCATGTAGGTAAAATCTCCCTGGAGCAGATGGAGGGAGGTGTCTGTGATATCAATATGGTGAGGCATGGCAAACTGACTACACTGTAGGTGCACTGGGAAAGGCAGTGTGGGTTGCTCTGCCTTGGGAAAAGGAAAGTGCATTTTTGGGATTGTCTTTGCTCAGGGACCCAGATGCAGGAGAAGTGGAAATCTGCTGTGTGTCTCAAGGAGATTTATCCCTGGTAGAAAAGAACCCATTATTTGACTTGTATGTCATAGGAAGGAATACAGCAGGAATCATCTGAACCAACAGAGAACGAGCCTCACCAGGAACCATGTGAGTGCAGTGCTGACCCACCCCATGTGGTCTTGCTGCTTAACAATCCAACTTGGTGCTGTCTTGAGTGATCCCCTTGACAGATAGGACCAAAGTAATCAACTGTTCTTATGGAAATTTGGGGGAGGGAGGTAATGGAATGGGGGAATAATATCTGTACATATGTCAAGGGACAAGGTGTAGTGGTTATAGAGGATGTATAAACCTAACTGTTGGATGTAAAGATGGTTTAGGTACATAGTATAAGTTGTAAGTGTTGGTAAGAAGCAATTTGAGGAGAGATAAATAGATGGAATGGAAAGGTTTGAGTAGGGTATGTAGGTAGGTAGAAATGAAGCAATGTGTGAGTGGGACAGAGGATAGCTGGTTATCTCAGGTCACACATGGTATGAAAGGTGTGGAATAAGGGGTTGAGGTTGTGCTGTGTCTGGCTGGGATGGAGTGAACTTTCTCCCTGGCACCACAGTGGTGCTGTGCTTTGCATTTGTGGTTAAAAGTGTTGATGCTACACCACTTTTTTAGCTGCTGTGGAACAGTGTTTGCTTTCTCTCATGATTTTCCTCCCCTTCACTCCTCCCAGACTGCAGGGAGGGGACAGAGTGGTGACAGCTGACTGACCAAAGGGGTGTTCCATATTCCACACCATTTGATGCTGTGATCAGCATTAAAAGCTTGGCAAAAGCAGGAGGAAGGACAGTTGTTTGTGGTTATGGTCTTCCCAAGCAGCTGTCGTGCCTGTTGATGGGAACCAGGGAATGAATTCCCATTTTTCTTTACTTACATGTGCAGCTTTCCTTTCCTTTCCCTATAAAGCTATCCTTATCTCAGTGCTTAAGTCTAGCCTTTCCTTTATTTTGTCCCCATTCAGCAGGAAAGGAGTGAGAGGGAGTCAGGGTGGGTGTCTGGCTGTTGGTTGGGGTCAGTCTGTCACAAGGGCATATCTAATGCATGAGCATGTGCAGGATACACTTTTGGACATGAACTGAGCTGATGGTGTTTCTAATGCAGGTGGGAGCCTCTAAATTTGAGATCTCAGAATACCAAGGTAATTACTAAACTGACCGTGTAAACTTCTCATTAAAAAGATCTAATTCAATTTTTAAAAGGTTAAAACTACTTCTTTCTCTCATTGACTTGCTGTGGAATTGGATTATTAGAAGTAATACCTGTGTTTTCCCCAGCTGTCTGCTCTGACTGTTTAATTCAAAGGGAAAGTAATAGAAATGATCATAACCCAAATGTGCTGCAACATGACAGTCATGGCTGTTGTAAAAGCCTTACTGAAATCCACTTACTCTAAGTGGATTTACAAGCTGCTGTGGCTTGGAGTTGCTCCTTTTGGTACAACTTCAAACCTACAAAGGGAAGTAAGCGAGCCCTGATGTTCTAAGGACCAGACAAGTCAAACCTGCCCTGTCCTCTGCTTGGAACCAGCACCTGAATCAAGATTTGTTTTTTCATTGTAGTGCCACTGCGATAGCCAAGTGAGGAAATTTTGAGTCCCAACAGGATTTTTCCAAGAAAAAGGTGCTACATGAATGTAAAATGTTAGTGAGGTGCAGAAATTCAAAACTTCTCCTGTCTTCCCACCAGCAGAAAGCAGAATGAAAATTGAGAATTGATCAGAGTAAAGGCAGCTTGTAATGTCTCCTTTTCTGGCTCTTGGGCCTTTTGCAAGAGTGTTCTCAAGCATATTCGTACAGCTACAAAAATGAGGAATGTAACTAAAAAAAAGAGAGAAGATATCTTACTTTTTAACACTGTGAAAAGTGGTAAAATGTGAAAAAACCCTCATAATTTACGATATTCCTATATTGCAGGAGTTGGCAACAGTGGCTTAGGTGGTGTGCTTCTATCAGCACAGGGACTGGACTTAGTGTCTGCCTTCTCCAAATTATGTCCCTTTCCAGCTGTAGCCTGGTTGTAATAATTCATGAACCTTTGTTTCTAGTGTCATAGCATTATCCTGTGGAATAACATTTACAAAATATTTTCTGTAATTCTTTTTGTCAAAGGTTTCCTGGTGTTTGGTTAGAAAAATCTCTGTGAAAATCACCTGTGCTAGCAAAAAATGGTCAGAAATAAGTGTTTTCTAGTAGTTATAAGAGTTCACATCATTTCCTCAGTGTGTTGGGTGAATGGAGGGAAGCACCTTTGTTCTTAATTTTGGTACTTGCTGGAATCTCTGACTTCAGTAAATTCACAGGTAAAGTATATCTTTAATGTCTTTAACAGCAGTGTAAATTTACGAAGCTCAGTCAACTAAAAGGTGCTTTTTGTTATTAACACACTTTTACAAGGAGTCTAGCCCTAAAATTGAGTGAATATACTTCATGTGCTTGGTTCTGAAAATAAAATTGTGCTCAAATGATCTGTAGCAGTGCCAGCATTGTTCTGTTCACAAAAGGTTTATGTGGCCATTTTGGTGTAAAAATGTTCCTTCTTTATGATGGTGACTCACTTTCTTGCCTGGGAGCATGTACCTCCCTTAAAAATGGATGTGATGAGGATTTCTAAGTAGTGCTTGTTCACCTATTGCTTACTGTAGACTTGCTGACCACAGGCTCCCTTCTCTCCTTGCAGTGCCATCCTTTTCTTGGATTCATAACAAAGCAGTTAATGAAAATTCAGATAATTCACTGTCAAATGTTTGGAAGTATACTTTATTTGTTTATTTGTATTTAAGCCGTTCAAAATCACTGCAGCCCTTTCTCTTTGCCCCTTCTTTTGCCAGTGATGGTTTTCCTCACTTTAGTTTGGCAAGTGTTGTAGAAAGCACCATGTGATTTGGTAATAGAAATATTTGGTTCACTGAAGTCCTCCTTAATCATGAAGCAAAGTCCATTTGAGCTACCAAATGAATATTCATCAGTCATCCTGTACAAAGCCCAGTGATAATTAATTCTTTCTCTTCTGGTGACCACTTGCTTCTGCCATGGTAAAGAGACTCAGAGAAAGAAAAAGAGGGGAAGCAAATGTTGCAACCCTGCTGGTTTGCAGGATCCTAGAGGATAGGGAGAATACCCCTCCTTGGAGCATTTTGGACTTACCACTTCCTAAAAAGTAGGAGAGGTTAAAAAATCATTTGCTGTCCTTGTGTTTGCAGCTAAGAAAGGTTTTCTATCCCCTGGAACTGTAAATAGGGAACTACAGTGGCAGTCCTCTTGCCCCAGACTTTGCTTTAAATATTGAATTGTCTTCCCTAGTGCCCTTTTTACTGGAGAATTTAAACTCTGAACAATGATTTCTTCTTTAGAATGTTCTGTATAGGCGGCAAATTTGGGTTTTAGGTGCAGAATAATATTTCTGAGAATACTATTACTAATAATATTAGTATTATTATACTAAATTATGTATTTATTGCTACATAGTTATTTTATAACTGAGGTCTTCTTTTGCTGTGTGTCAGACTGAAATCAGAGAACCTGGTTAAAAACCTGGAAATTTCTGTTGCAGCAAAAATTCAAAGATCTTAAAAATGAGGACTTATGCAAGCTAAGTAGGTTTTTTGGTGGAGCTGCTGTGTTTGTTCTAGTAAATGGCAGTACACACATGGATAAATTCACATGCATGCACAGCAGTCAGGCTGTCTGCACTGTTTGGGTAACTGGAGCTGATGTTGGTGTGATTAATGCTGCTTGAATGGAAATGCCTTTGGAATTCTCCTCTTCCCTCGGGCCCTGGTATCTCGAGAAGACTTTTCATTCCAGCTCATCCCATTGGACATTTTCTGGATGTGTATTTCTTCATTTTTGCCTTTCAATTGCTCTATCATTTGGTAGTCTTTGGACATGCAGGATGCTGAGACATAAAAAATAATGTCATAAATTTACAAGTCTGACTTTTTCCATCCAGCTCATGGCTCTTTCTTTTTACTACAGTATATACCCTTAGAAAAACCCTTGACCTATGAAAGAAAAGTGTAAGTTACCTCTCTGTTGCACGTGCATTTCTTGCCCTTTGGAGATGGATTTCTGAATTTGACAGTAGACTGTGTTCCTTTTCTTTTAAGCTTTTGAAATGTATGAATAATAACCACTATGTCTAATTCACTATTTTCCTCAAGGAGTACAATGAAAAGGTGCTTATACAATTACCAGAAATACAGCTCAGTGATACAGGAGGAATCCAGGCCTAAGGCATCGATTTCTCTTTCTCTTCCCATCTCCCATTCCTCTTCCTGTTCCCTGTGTCCCACCTGTCCTACCCCCCAAGTCTGTAATCCTTCAAGGAAATGCCCCTAATTTCTGCAGTAACCTCTCTGTAGTAGTCAGTGTTTAATTTCCCTTTGCCAGTAAAGACTCAAATCTGAAATTTTATTACCCTAAGATCAGGCTGAACTGATATTTGGAGTTCTGGGGTGCTTCAGCCTCAGCTAATTAGGACCTAACTTCTGCATCAAATTCCTCATTGGGTGCATTCACTCTTGCAGCAAGAAGGATTTAAATTGGACTAGCATTCATTTACCTTTCTATGTGAGATCAGTGAATATAATGGAAAAATCTGAATGTAGCCTTGAAGGTAAAGAGAAATACAAACTTCCTGTAGGTTTCCATCTTCTTGGTGGCTGTATATTGGCTTTTGTGTTGGGAGACCCATTGTGTTCTGCTCTGATGAGGCTTTTGTGATGCTTATAGAACTTTTAATAGAAACGTGAGGGTGGATAATGCCTGGTCTTTATTAGTTCTTGTCACTTTGTGGCTTTGAAAGGCTTGTTATCTGTTATCACAAAAAGGAAATGGCTACTGCTATGGTTGGCACTGCAGAAATGCAGAAGGCAGCCCTTTTCCTGTGTAACTATTGAAAACCATTATTATAAGCTTTGGGAGGGATATAAATCTAGACCCTATTTGAACCCAAGATTAATAAATAAAAAATATAAAATTAAATTATTTTAATACAGTGTAAAAGCTGCTAGAATTTGTACGAGCTTATATTGATTCTTTTAAATTTCCCTCCAAATAAGCAACAGATCCTACCATGAAACCATGCCTAAGTACTAAGGACAGGATAAATGTCAATAAAATGCATACTTGGAAATAAGGTTGGTTAGACTGTAAGACTAATGCTGGTTTTGGTCACAGCAGAATTTGTGCCTCTGATTTAACTGGAAGATGACACAAACTTTCTAGAAAATACCCACCTACATCTTAGCTTACTGCCTGCCTTGCAAATCACCCTGATCATCCTGACATGACTATATCTGGACCTAAAAAAAAGATCCTAAATAATCCTGAAATGCTGAACTGGATTGAGAGCTGCAGTGAGTGGGAAATGCTCTTTCATGAAGTAAAGACCAGAGAAGGAAAAACAAAAAGTCCTGTTATCCACAGACACAACTGAAGTTGATTCCTTGGCAGGTCATTCAGCAAAAGAAGAATTTAAAGGTCTCTGTGCACAAGAGATTCCCAGCAGAGTTCTTTAATGATTTCCTAAACCATAACTTCTCACTGAGTCAGATTTTCTTATAAAAATGGTTACATTTTAAGCTGTTGCATGACTTAACTCTTAGACTTTGTTTTAAAGCTCACTATGTCCTTCAGAAATAGAGAATGATAGAGTCTGAAGCCTCCTGTAATAGAAGGAAAAATTACCTAGTGCACACTCTAAGTGAATTTATATTAAGTAAGGTAATTGAAACTGAAGGATGTTGTCATTTTCTTAAGCTCTCCTAGGGTTACTTTAGTGAGTGGCAATAATCTGTAATTTTAGTTTGAGGGCTTGATCACTTGACAGTGTTAATCTGTTGTTCCACTGTAATACTGTGAAGTTATACATTTAATTAATTTAGCTAACAGTGCAGTGTTGATTTCTCAAGGTTTGCATACTTGTTATTTGATTGACATTATTAATTTTGTTATATTGATTAAAAGAAGAGGTGCATCTTTTCACTAATTGGTATCCCGTTTTAATTCAATATAGAACTCTTGGGTTTTGATGTTAATTTTTAAATTTTATTTTTCTATCTTGATATAAGAAAGTAAAATTGACAGCCCATTTGTCATTTCTAGAAGCCAATGTATAAGATATGTAATAATGAAGTGGTACTCTAGAAAAGCAAACCCAGAGAACTAAGTCTAAAACTGAGGTAAAGCAGGAGGGTAAAAAGGTGCCTTTTGTCACCATTGAGTTGTTTGGATATGTCCTTTTCCCATGATGATGCATTTTTTTTAAAACAAAGTAGGATAAAAATATCAGCATTTCAATAGCTAAATTTTACCACTGTTTAATCTTTTGATTTAATATAAACACACACAAGAGCTCAAACCTTTTCTTTTTTTTTTTTTTTTTTTTTTTTTTTGCTCCTCTTGCAAGAGGAAGTAGGTTCCTAAAGCAGGACATATCTAGGATACAGGAGGACAGGGGAGAACACACTATCTGTTCTTCTAATTTGCATTTTTCCTAGTCCTGGTTGCCTTGCAATCCTGTGATGAAATTTGTTAACTGTTGGATTGAATCTGATGGATTTACCAAAGCTGGGCTGTCTGAGGAGGTCTCACTTGCCTTAAAATAAATGACACATACTTGGATTTACTCATCAAGAGAAACTTTGCTATTTTGATATTTGCTTTTTTTTTGTGTGTGTGTGTGTGGTTGAAATAGGAGATTTTTCCCCCTCTTTTAAGCCCTAAGCACATTGTTTTCCTGTGTTACTCAGCTCCAATGCTGTTGAGAATGTGTGTGCAGCTCACAGGGCTGGCTTCAAGCCTCCCGAGGCTTTTCTCAGATAAAAAGGTTGTTCACTACCCAGTTCCTGAGAGAAAAACCTCAGAGACATGTCCAGTGCTGTTTGCTGGTGAATATGAATCCAGAGGATTCTCTGAGGAGGGTGACTGGGATTACACTGCAGTGACAGACCCTGTGCTGAATGGATTTCCAAGTCCACTGCTGGCTCTGCAGGAGAAGGGATTGCTTTGGGAATTGGTGTGAGATATGGGAAAGTGGAAGGAGAAGAGAAAAAAAACCATCTTGCTTTGGTCTCAGAGCTGTGCATGCTTTGTGAATGGCTGCTGCTGAGGTCTCAAGCCAGCACCTTTCATGTCTTCTTCTTAAGGAAGTTTGGAAGCAGCTCTGGAGGTGATGCTTTCCTGCATGTCTGGGACACTGAACTACTGATTTTTGTTAGTAGTAAGGGTTTTGATTGCTTCAATGCCTTGGAGAGGCTGGCAGGTCCCATCATTCCCCATCCATGAACCACTGGGCTCTGTGCACCTCTGGAGCTGTTGAAACAGCAACTGAACTCGTGCTTTTTTCCTGCAGTCTGAAATGGAAATGCCTTCTAAGAGTCTGAAAGTCACTGGAAAGTCTAAGCCAAGCTGGCCTTAGTTGGGAAAAGCCAACAAAATCTTCTGGTCCTGGGCAGCTGATCCATAACTGGAAGTTTGACACCAGAGAGTGCAATGTGGACCCTTTTAGAGCACCAACAGAGAGCTGAAAGATAAGTAGAAAATATATATAGCAGTTAAAATAACACAGAAACCAACCAGACATTTAACTTCTTGCAAGTCCAGCCTACACAGGAACTTCTATGCAGTATGGAAAAGTGCAGATAAATGCTTGTTTGTAATTTTCAATCCCATTTGCTGTCCTCTCCTGCCAACCAGAAGATCAGGGCATACCCAAAATAACTGATTTAACTCACACAAGCATACAGCTTACGAGGACCTGGCAATGTGGAACAACCAGAAATCCTTCCATGGTTAAGGTAAGAGGGGGGGAAAAAAAAAATCAATCCCCAAGCAAGCACTTTGTTTGGATTTTTAGTTTCCTATTGAATCACAGAATCTCTCGAGCCACCTATCCATTTAGATAATGGAGGCCAAGCAAATCACTCTTGTTTTCTCCTTTCCAGCAGTGTACCAAATTCTACTTGCTGGTCTGGCACCTAAAGATGTTTATAAAAGACAGCTTTGTTTCTCTAGGAAAAAGGAAAATCTGTATTTTGAAGTAAACAAAGAAACTCTTCTGCCTCTTAACGCTAGTCTGAAACAGGAAGATGTTGTGGTAAGCATTATTCTTTTTTCTTTCAGAATTTCTCCATTTTTTTCCTGATGCTCACATTGGAATTCTCCTACTGGAAGTACAAATTACAGTAATAAGAATTGATATTTTTTCATCATTGAAAAAGAGATGCCAATAGCATGGTGTTCTATATATTTATATTGTCAGGCTCTTACCTGTGACAGCCAAATAATTTGATAGAGGTGCCCTCTTGAGGAGGAGAAACAATTACAGAGGAATTTTACATGATTTTAGCATTTCTTCAGTCCAGTTTAGGAGTTACTTGGTGTGGCCAGGAGGTGCTGCCCGGGTTCTGAGAAAGAAAGAACATCTATTGCAACAAGCTTCTGTTGAGGAGTGATGTATTCCAGTCTTTTGTTTTCTCTATACTCAGTTTTGCCCAGAGAGCTGGGAGGTGAAACCTGGTATCAAAAGAGAACTATTTTGAGCCAATCAGTATTTTTGGATTATCTTTCAATGGAGCAACTCGATATTTGATAAAAGGAAAAACCTTCAAATTGAAGAAATAAAAACAAACAGCCCTCCCAAATGTCCCTCTCCCCTGATGCTTTCACTTGCTTATTTTTTCAAGAGAGGATGCTTTCTTCATCTTCCATTTTTATAAAACCAGCAAAGCTTATAGAGAATATTCTGTTGGCATAAAGCCTTTGCTGCAAGATCTATGTTAGGAAATAGATTTTCTGTCCTCTCATGTGGAGGAAAAAGTATTGTTTTCATTGTGCTGCCTGTTATGTGGACATCTGAAATACAAGACAGCCCCTCCTTTTACAGTGCATAAAGAAGAGTGAAGAAGAGAGAAAGGGAGAAGGAGAAGAATGGAGAGGGAGGAGGATTGGCCTGGCACAAAGCTCAGCTCAGTTTAAGTCTGCACTCTCCCACCACAGAATACAGCATGCTGGAAATCATTTATGCATCTGCCATGAAATACCTGGAAGAAGAAAAGAACCTGAATGGAAACTGCCTTATCAGGCACCAGCAGAATCAGTCATCACAAATCGAGGCTCACTGCCATGAAAGAGCCAATAAGGAAAACAGGACTGGGTTTGGAAAGGAGATGGAAAGCTTGCACCTCTCACAAAATGCAGGCTCCATGGCAAAAGTCAGGTCTACACTGAAAACTTCTAAAAATATAGAAGTCAACCAGTCAGACAGTGTCTGCTATCAGTGCAAAGCCAAAATAAAGAGTATTTTCCTTTCCTTTCCTTTCCTTTGGGCCACTTCAATATGGTGAGTGTAACAGGTAAGCTCTGTGTGCTTGTAGAGGGAGTTGGGAGGTGACACGATGGTGTCTCAGCAGAAATTTCTGCATGATAAAAACCGTGTTCATGAAGATGTATCCTTTCCTCCTAGGGTGTGAAACCGAAATTGATTGCTGCCACACTGTGACATGTGCAATACGTTTCATACTCTTCTGCCTCTTCATCTGTGCATGCTAAATGCAAGGCTGACACGTGAAAAATGTCAGGGATTTGTTTTAGATTGGCTGTGGATTGCTCTGAGCTAATGGAAATAGCTTCCCATGGGATTTCTACTCTAAGCACCGTTAGCAGAGCTGAAAGAATTTGGGTGAAAAAAGCAGTGTGGGAAAATGTGTGTTAGTCTCAGCTTAGGTGCAGGTCTGCCCCGGCTCAGGTAGCATCAGTTCTGGGTTCATATCCACAGCTGCATTTACAGGCAGCAAAGTTATTGTATCTAAAATGGAGATCTAGGAATTTTCCTAAACTGAGAGCTTTGTGCATGCAAACAGCCCGGCCTTATCACCTCTGGAATTCATTTTCCTGTGTGTGCACCTCAGAGAGGAGTGGTGCTTAGGGGGAGTGGGACTTGAGGTATGGCAGCCACTGCTGGGGGTCACTTTGGTTTTATTGAGGTGTCTTCTTAATTCTCCTGCTCCGTTGGTTAGAAGAGAAAAAAATACTGTGCAGAAAGGCTGGGGAGGCTGAAACATGCAGTGTCAGTGCAATAATTTCTCAAAGTGTCTTAACTGGTCACATGGTGTGCCCAGTGACTCCAGCTCCATACCCCCAGCAGGAGGGAATTCTTATCTGGCCTAAGTAGCCAAGGTGGGCAGCTCCTAGAGCTTTGTGGGTTAATTCTGATCTGTGTTGGGCTGAGAAACCAGCTCATATTCCTTTCAAGCTGTTCTCCAGCTTTGTTAAAACACAGGGATTTATATATTTACCTTTCTCCTTCTTAAAGTTTTCTCCAAAATACTTTGGCTAAAAAGAAAATCAGAATTACAGCTTCAGTCACCTTTTTGACACCAATTTGTACGTAAGGAAAGATGCAGTTCTGCAGACTTTTATTTGCATGTTTGTCATGGTGGCATCAGGTGTGGCATTGCCAATTCCACAGAGAGTACAGGAGTTTACCAGGAACAGAACAAAGCTCTGAGGGTGGATTCTGGGCTGGAAAAGATGTGGGCTGTGATCATGATATCCTGGATAATTGTGTATGTCAAAGGTAAGAAGATATATATATATATATTTTTTTTTTTTCGAAAAAAAGGTGTATGATTGATTTTATAAAATCACAAGCTTCTTGGGTGGATTTCTGGCATTGTCTATATATTTATTGACATCCCTTTCACATTTTTTTTCCAGCTGTACTTTCTGGGACCTGCCTCCCATGCAGGGATCTTTTTTCCTTTCTTCCAGTGTTCTCTGTGCAAATAAGGATTTCTGTGTTATTGTCTCCTCTGAAATACCTTCTGGGTCATTTCTAGTCCATCCTCTGTGCTCTTCAGCTTGCTCTGGGAAAGCTGAGAACACTCTCAGTGGAATGAGCTCAAGGTTGGGAATGGACAGGGAGCAGAAATGAAGTTAGTGTCAAACTCACTCTTGTATAAACAGAAACCAGAAGAAGTTGTGATGTTTTATCCAACTCTGATATTTTGAAAGCTTATTTTGTCTACAGCCCTTTAACACTGCTGTGTCCCTCTCCCCCTTTCCGAGTATTGATGTAAAATTGCCTTTTGTGAAAGGACCTCTCTCTCAGGCCTTAAAATTTGGTACCAAAGGACAAGGGGGAGATGGTTACACCAGAATCTGTTTCTGTGGTGACTGAGGCTTGTCTGATGAGCAGTGCTGATCTCTCCCATCTTTTTCATACTTGGACATGTGTGTAGCGTTTCTGAGTGTCAAAGCAGACACACAGACCAAGTGAAAATTTATCTCCTTGTCACTTTGCAAAGGGATCTGATTGTTTATCAGCTCTGAAGGACTGCAATGGCTGCTGCTGTGGCAGCCTTTCAATCACAGGCAGCCTGATTTTGGATTCCTGTAGAAATAAAAGTGTAAGTCACATCTGACAGAACCAACTGCTTTAAGGGCACCCACAGCAAGCAGTATGGGTGTCTTGCTAGCTGGGGGAAGGGGATGTGCTCAGAGACTCAGGAAGAGCATTGTATGATGCTATGTTTTGGGCTCCAGCGAGGCAAAAACTGCTCATATGAAAACTGCAGATATTTTTAGCACCATTCTTCAGCAGGCAGCATGCTGTACAACTGCACATCAACACGGTGCTTCTCCCTTAGGTTGGTGTAGCTATGTTTCCACCTCCTGGCGACTACGAGGAATAGCTGTAGAGAGATTAAGGAGGTTTTTTTCTTTTTTTTTTTTTTTTTTGCTTTTGCAAGGCACTAGATGGTGAAGTAGGAATTTTAAAGAGGCAGTTCTCTTGAGCTCAAGGGGATTTTTAACTCCTTGGCATTCAGTATTCTGTGCTGTGTATAAACATAGGAGCTGCTTCCAAATATCCTGCTTTGCAACAGCTGCGAATATGAGTCCTTGAGGTGAAGGGTCATAAAAACAAAGTGCTTACAGCAGGTCTGTGAGTAGTAAGACACCAGAGAGACACTTTACATTGAGGGAGGGAGCATCAGTGTATATCCATGGTAACTGGCAGCAGGAACACACCCAGTGGAATTCCAGCTCCAAACACCTGGGCATTCTGTCTGTTAGACACAGCAGTTGTTATAGAGGCAGGTACTGTTAGGGAAGTCACATCATCAAGACTAGGAATTCTGTGATGTGAGTAGCCTTGAGTAACAAGAAAATGCGAATTTTTTGTCATAAATGAGTGTTTTAGGTGGCTCAAAGAATCAAAGGAATTGGAAAGAGCAGGTTTAATATGAAGTGAAGGCATGACAAAATTCATTGGCAAGACTCACTCTACTGCTTACTAGATGGTTAAAGCACAGAGAAAAACCATGCTAAAATGTAAAATCAATCAATGTAAAACTAAAATCAACCGTAAATGATGTACACTGAGGCTGGGGAAGGAAAAAGGGTAAAGATGGGAAAAGGATAAAAAGGAATAAAAGAAGGCCCTCCCAATGTTCAGAAAGATCTGCCTAGCCAAACTTAGGCTTGGATTGGCCAATGGCTTAGGCCTAAACTCAGGTTATTAGTTGGGCAAGAAAAATAAGTTTCCAAAGCTGTTTGGTAAAAACCAAAAGCTTGTTAGGCAGCACTGGCAGTTCTTGGGAGCAGACAGTGTTTCTGATAAGCTCAGGAGAAACTCAGCCCAGATGCAGTTAATTAAGGACAAAGCCTAATGATCATTTTTAAATCTTAGTGCAGCCCCAGGAGAAGGGGGGAGGTGTTCTGTGAGTGCTCTTCAGCAGTAAGAAAACACTAATTTTCCCAAACAAAAATCTCTTGCACAAGTCAGTATGACTTCTCCTTGTCCTTGACAACAGTAGAGTCAGAGCTGGGTTTTCTTCCAGGACCTGCTCAGAAATCTGTAGTGTCTGATTCTTGTCCCATGCCAGGGCAATGCCACCTCCCTGTTTTAGAGGAAAGAATGAAAGTTCTTTATCCATCTCAGAACTGCCCTGTGTAAACAAGCAAAGTAAAGCTTTGAGTAGATAGTGCAATACATGTTTCTAGGGCCTAAAAAGAAATATAGTCTGTTAGTCCAGAGCTTCCATATCAAAATGTTGTTCTCAGTGAAAATGGATTTTCAAGCTAACTGTCCAGGTATGCATTCAGTCAGGATCCCTCACCCCATTGATGCCTGGAAAGGCTGACCTGGAACAGAGACTAGCCTGAGCAAAAGGGATAAAATAGGAATTTATTGAAAGGATACACCTTGGGCAGTGCAAGAGCCTGGCTGGGGCTGCACCCAAATCAAATCCAAGATGGATCCTGGTCACGAGTTTTTACACTTTTATAAGTTTTGGTTCATCCACACATTGGGGTCAATTGTCCAACCACAGCTCCAGGCCATGAAGTCTCAGCCCCATGGCTTGCCCCCTTCCCTTGGCTGTTTTTACTTTTTGGGTACCAGTTATCCTTGATTCTCTAGCTGGGTAGGGATTGTTTTGTCTAAATATCCCGTAAAGAGAACTTACTAATACCTAATATGAAGTTTCAGAGTTACACATCAAGCAGCAGAGAATCTGAAAAATATAAAACCTAAAACCCAAGGCATCACCATGAGGCTCCTCATGCCCTTGTTAACTGCATTAAAACTACTTTGCAGAAGTGTTGCAGCACATGTACAATAACCCTGATGGAGTAGAGGTAATGGGCTCATTGAATCTGGACTTTGAGTGAGGTTGTTTTGCAGGTACCACCCATATAAAGTGCTGCCAGGTGTCCATAGGTCATCTTCTTTCACATGAGGAATTACCTTCTTTGGGGAAGATCATCCTCTTCATAGAGGTTTGTTGAAAGCCTGTATAGTTCAGAGTTGCCTCTAATGTATCTCTTTGGATGCATTTTAAAAATCATTTTACCAGAGTCTCTATCATTACAAAAGCCATAAACTAGCTCTGACAACAAACCATGTGGAAGTAATGTGCAAAATTAAGATTTCCAGTGATGGACACTTTGCAAACAAGCCAATTAACTTCTCCTGCTGTGTCAGAGGGCTGTGAGTGCAGCAGCTTCAAGTGTGTGCATAAACTTGTACCTCTATATAATGTTTTTTAAAAAATATTCATGTACGTAGCAATACACATAGACATGGCCACAGCACAGACACTTTTAGCAAATTAAGTCATGTTTTTTCATGTGTTTTGAGTGAGCTCTTAGCTGTGCACAGACACAGCCATATGGCTGTAGCCTGTGTATGCATGTAGCCTATACAGGCCTGAGGGCAGGGGTGACAAAAAAACTAGTGGCTTCCTGAGTCTCTGTCTGACACTTCTGCATTATCTGTGCTAGTTGACCTTTTCTTTTTTTTTTTTTTTTTTTTTTTTTTTTTTTTTTTTTTCCACAATCTTCTATTTCTCTCGCTTGTGTCATAGTGCTGTGCCTCAACTTTTCACACAGAACCTTTGGACATTGAATCAGGGCACAATGATGTACATGTTCTCCCAGCCTGGAGAAGCTCTGCCACCTCATCCTCAGGAGCTGCCACTCTGGGTTGTACTTCAAGCCACTCTGGGAAGATGAGAAAATTAAGATAATTTATCAGCAATGGCCACAGCCCCATGGCAGCATTAACATTTGTGGGTGATGACCTGAATTTATACTGTGGTTTTCACCTCCAGACTGCTGATCTACAAAATATGGGGGGAAGTTTGCTTAGCAGAAACCTGAATAAGGACATGTTGTAGGACTCCTCCCAGCAACTCCACTCTCCTGCATCATCCTCCCTCAAACAGAGCTTAAAATCTGCCAGAGGTGCTGGTAACCAGAAAAGAAATGAGGTGAGAAATTTTACTGGAAACCACCAGGGAGAATTTTCCTAGACCACTGACACAGAGCTATAGCTGCTAACTGGCTCATGGAAAAAGGAGTCTATGACAGCCAAGAAACCTATATGGTGAGGAAGGAAAAAGGACAAGCATCCCCTTTGGTGCATTACGGTGCACCGAGAGTGTGTAGGCAGTGATAAATGGCATCCTGACCCTGGTGACATGACTTTACTTGGCATTTGAGAGGTGGGATGTGTGGTTTTTTTCCCCAATATAGATGTGGGTTTCTATTTTAGGTATGTTTTGTTATACAACCAATTTATTCCACTTGTTAAAAGAAAAACACAGGAAAGGAAAAAACTATTCCTCCTTTGCCATACAATAGCAGCATGTATTTCATGTTTGTAAGTGTTGATCTAGCTGCTCTATAAACAGAGGGGACTGCTTTTTCCTTCCTGAAAAAATATATAAATAAATAAAATACATATTTTTTTCTATGCAATGACTCCAATGAGGGTGGAGAATACAGCTCCTTGAGGCTGGAGAAGCTGTCTCCCAGCTGGTGGGGGCTCCTGGGGCTTCTTGCAGGATCTTCACAGCTGTCCATGGAATGGGGAAGCTGTAGATTTCAGAGAAAATTATGTTCCCTGAAATGTGAAGGAGAAGGAGCAGTGAGGAGCTGAAGGAGAGAGGTGGGGTAAGTGCTGTGTCTCTATCTCTGCTTAGCACTGCCTAAACCATGGTTAGTGATGCTGCAGATAAGACTGACTGATAGGTGAGGAAGGACTACCTGGGCTTTTATTTCTGCTCTACACCAGGTTTTCTGCTCTTTCTGTTCTTTTTAAAGCAGGAATTACTTGAGGTTTGTAGATTCTCTATGTGCAGTTCGGGATGTGTGGTGCAATTCCATCGTGTTTGGCTGTAGAGTGGGAGGCCAGTACCTCTGACTGAAAGATGGGGAGGAAACTTTCATCTGGGGAATCTGAGATACAACCTGAGATGCTTACAAGAGTGTTTTAGGAATTAAACATCAAGCTGTAAACCATCTCCTCTCTGTTCATCTCTGAATAGAAGAACATACATCTCTTGTCTGGAAGATTTTTTTCTCTGGTTATCCACAGCTCTGAAAGCAGTAATTGCACTTGTGGGTTGCTAATTCCCAAATTTTTCCCTGGGAAATCAGCAGCAAAAGCAGTTGGCCCACAAGGGGCAGGAGTTAAAGCAGTTAAGATCATGAACATATGTGTGGTAGATAGATTTGTCTGCTGCAGGATTGGGATTGAGAGAGAAGCTCCTGAGGTTAATGACCTACAAGTGATAAGGGAATTCTCTAGGGCCAGGAGTAGAAGTTGCTGAGCATGGCCCTGCTGGCCCAGTGCTACAGTTAAAACAGAAATACATTTTCGTGATTTCTGCAAATTGTGACAGAATTACCTCTGGGTATTTGAACATGGAAGTGTCAGGTTTTACAGGCTTCACTATCAGCAGGGCTTTCCCCCATCTGTTTGCTGACATTGATGGCCACAGATGGTTTATACCTGGGGAAGTCAAGGTGTTAGGTACAAGAACTGGGATTTTTTTCCACCTAAAATGGAAATTGTAAAGCAAATGTCTTCTCTTTTTCTGAAAGGAAGAGAATGAGCTACCAGAGTGGTGTTGCTCTCATTCATCTTTTGCTCCTTCTGCCCCTTTTCAACACTGGATTACCCTCTGAGAGGACTGGATGCAAGGCAGCTACAGATGTGAGGAATATGCCTTGGCTTGTGCAATAACTTCATGGGACTAAGCCATTTTCCAGATGAGCTAGTGATAAAAAGGTAAATATATCTGAAAAGAGGAAAGATGCTCAACTGCTTTCTGGAATTACAGCTACTATGTATGATAGACTGTTTTCCCCTGAGGAAAAAATCCACACTTTATAACATTGGTATTACTCTAAATATTAATATATTGATGAATTCAATAGATAGCACAAATCTCTGCCTTGCTGTGGAGGAAATTTCAAACCTATTTACCTTTAGGTATATTTACCTAAACACTACAATTTTACAGTTGTTTTGTATAACTTGCTTGTGATTGTTTTGAGAGCTCATTCTATTAGGCTAATTCTCTCTTTCAGGAAGCCATCCACCTTCTATTTCCCATTTTGCAGAGAAAGCTTTGTGGTTTGGAACTGAATGCAACTAGCTCAAAAACTGGATGGACTAAATTTTAAATCGTCTCTGGCTTCAACTGATGCCAGCAACTGTGAAACAAACAGGGAGTCTGAGAAGAAAATGCACTGTGGAGGTTCTGATCCATCAGTCCCTGACAGTGCTAACAGTCTTCTGCTGTGCTAGTACAGGAATTCAGGGATCAGTTTTTAGGGCCAGGATATATTTCAGAGAATGAAAATACCAGAAGGCTCTAAAGTCAAAGTTCCATTACCCAGCAGCATTGTCAGGAGCCAAGGAAGATGGCTAAGAACAGAGAAAGAAAACAGCTTCTCCTCTCCCCCCGGAGATTTTCAGTTTCAGATTTGGGAATATCTACCTGCTGCCCCTTTTGGTATGTTTTGTTTTCCACCCAGGGCATTCAAAGCCTTGCTATATTTTTTTGCTTCTTCATTTTCAGTGGATGGACTTGAGGAATTCCCAGCAGAGCACCATTGCTAGGGAGAAATGGGAGTAGAGGAGGCTGACCTGGGGTTGTTGAAAATACAGCATAACCACCATCTTTCACTTCAGAAAAGCTGCAGGCTTTTGAGTTGGGTGCTCTGTGGCCTTGGTGATGAGGTAGAAATATCAAATGCTGCATAGAAGATGCTGTTGCTGCTTTGACTGCCAAAAGTGTGAGTTTGGATTTTAAATAATGTAGCCTTGATTTGCAGAGCAGTTACCTTATCCTTATAAGAGGAAGCAAGAGAGTTGATACAGATGTGTACCACTGCTTCCTCTTTTTGCCAGCCCTTCCAGCACTTCCTTGCCCAAAGACACACGTCTTACACAGAATAGACTTCCAAGACAGGGTCTTGTGTACCGTTTAAAATGTGCTTTCACTTAAAACAAGACCATATTTTGCTGAGTTAAACACGGGAATGGCTCTGTGCCATACTGCATATCCTTTAAAAAGTTGTGGTGGCAACTGATGCACTGATGGATACCTCACCTTTTCCTCCCTAAGGTTGTGTTAGCAAACATTTAAATCACGTTGAACTTTGCATGTATTTGCCTGATTTTAAGTTGGTGCTTTGCACAACTCAAGGCTTTTGGGTGGTGCGTGATGTGTACCAACAGACAGCTAAGGTTGCAACATGTCACAAAGCCCTTCGTTTCTCTCAATTTAACTCTGCCACATCCTCTTCAAGGCAGTGTACTTCCACCAGTGTTTTTTTTGACTCATTGCAGGGAGGGGGTGGAGGATTTATCTGTCTGTGAGAAAAATCAGCTGCATGTTAAGGTCTCAGAACCAACAAGGAAAAGAAGCTGATGGACCGTACAGCTGAACACAGGGACTACCTGGGATGGAATCTCCTAAACTGAGATAGTTCCACTGCAATTATATTTGGACCCTTCTTGGGGAGCTCCAGGTACATCCCTGCAGTTCCCTGGTGTGCAGGAGCTGCCTGGGGATCAGCCATCAGGACTGGGAGCGAGTAGGGAGTGCTGAAGTCACCCTGCTCACCAAAGGGGAATTGGAACACCGGAACAGCTGGAACTGCTGCTGCTCCCCTCCCAGGCTCCTCTTGAATAACTGAGTGAGTCTCCCCCAGCTCTGCACTCCTTGGGATGAATCCAAGAGGCAGGATTCCCTGGCTGGAAGAGTGACACGTGCATCGTGCCAGCCACCGCCGCCGAGGCTGAGTAAAAATTTTGATTTATTTTAAAGCAGCTATTGAGGCACTTCAATTCCATCAAAGGCAATAACACAAGGTGAGCCACCAAGTATTTATTTGCTGCTTTTAAATGGGTTTGCTTCATCTCTGCTTGGTTGTTCCTTTTTGGATTTTGAGAGCTCCTGCTCGCTCAGAGGCACAACTGTTCAAGGGTTGTGAGTTTTAAAAATTGCAGATTAAATTCTGCGTTCCATACATTAATATTTAAACACAGTCATACACTCTCTTCTTTCTGTAAGGTCCCATTTTTAATCATTAATGCCTCTTCTTTTGAGCAAATAAACCTCATATATGAGATTTGTATGCACTAAAAAAATGAGATACTTCTCTGGGACAAGTTCCAATATGACAATATTCTGTTATGAATATTTATGGACTCATCAAAATTGGTGAGAAATGAATTTGTTGATAGAAAATGTGGAAGTTTTGTTGTTTTTTCTTTTACTTTCCTTTTGAAAGAGACAGAGAACGTGTTTGCAAACTTGGGTCAAGTTCAGTACATAAATCTGGTCAAAATGTATTTTTTTTAATTTTTAAAGTTTCACCTTTTTTGATTGAATGTATTGATGCATTTTAAAAATTTTTAAATTTTTAAAGTTTCAAACGTTTTTTATTGAAAGCAACTTTTGCATGCATAATTGCAAAGAAAAAAAAATCCCAAAACTTCTGACAGCACTGAATAAAATGAAACAAAACAAAATATTTCCTTTATGGCAAAGATTTTATGTGAATGAAAATGAAATTTGAGATTTTTTTTTTTTTTAATGTAAGAGTTACGTTGCTTGTTATACATTAGTAACAGAATATAGATCAATGTGGTTTTATTGGCATTTTTACCAGGCTGTGATGAAAGCTTTTCATCCAGCTGCATCACAATTCTTTGTTAGAGTTTGAACAGAACAGTTATTTGAGGAAAACAATTCTATTGAGGGTGGTGAGACGCTGGCACAGGTTGCCCAGAAAAGTTGTGGATGCCCCATCCCTGGAAGTGTTCAGGGTCAGGTTGGATGGAGCTCTGAGCAACCTGGTCTGGTGGAAGTGTCCATGGCAGGGGGGCTTGGAACTGGAAGATCTTTAAGGTCCCTTCCAAGCCAAACCATTCTGTGATTCAGTGACTTGACTTTGCACTTGTATCACACTATGTTAAGGAAAACACCAGCTCTTGCATTTGGCTCGTGACCGGCAGTGTTTGTTCTTCCTGTGCCACACGTGTGGCAGCATTGTGGCTTCTCTCCTCTCCACCAAGCATCCTCATGTGGTTTATTTCACATTTAAAATGAAATCTTTATTGCTGCGTAACTGAAGCCTGTTACTTCCATGGCAGTTGGTACCAGGTGAGGATTCGGGTCTCTGGGTGCAGAGTGAACCTTTTCCTTCTCCTCCCAGCAGATGCTTGGAAGCTTGGTTGTGTTTGAATAAGGGTGTGAACAGTGCATGGTCCAAAGAGCCCACAAGGAAATCCTGTTACTACAAATCTGACATTTCTGAGTCAGCCATTGCACAGACGTGTTTGCTTATCTGCTGCATCTTGGGTTTTGTCTTAGGAATATAAACACTGTGTCAGTATTTCCCTTGGGATGGGATCATAATTTTCCAATAATCTCTAGCTGTGAGGGCCTGATTCAGAAAGGAAATTATTAAAGAGAGAGAAATGGCAGCATTTATAAGACATGGTTTGTTAAAAGGGTTGCACAGTTGTAGAATAGCAGGAGTTACTAGATGCCTCTTAAGTTCACCCTGCCTATGAAAGCAAGAAACAAACTCAGATGGTTTTGATCCCTTGCAATAGGAAGGTTGCTCTCTTTGTTCTGCCCCAAAAGGGGAGTTACTCTTCAAGAAATTAAAAGCATGCAAAGGCGAGGAATAATTTCTTTGCCAAAAAGTTGATGAAGTCTAGATCCTGAGTGGTATCAGAGATCCAGGGGTTTGAAAAACTGTAAACAGTAGCTTGTTTTTGTTTGGGGGATTTTTTGGTCTTCATTTTCTTTTTCCTTTTTTAAATTTTTTTTTTTCAACCCTGGTTTTGCCTTACTTTCTTCAGTATAAGAATGACACTTGACGTGGGGTCTTGTTTAGAACTTCTGCTTTCAAGAGAAACAGGGGTTTTACTGCATGTTCTCTTTGAAGGGATGAGCACAACAATTTGTCTTCATTTTTTGCAGTGCTGATTCCTCTGCTAAAGATGGCTCAGAAATGGGCAGTTCTGGCTGTGCTCCTTTTCTTGCCAATCAATCTGGTTGAAGGTAAGTGAGAAAGATTCAAAACTACATGTAGCACTGTTTGGTACTCTGTATTTCCAACTTGCCAGGACACTGAAACTTCGTAATACAGCAGAGCAAAATTTGCCTATTGCTTAATGGGAAAGGAAAGAGAAATGTCACCTCAGCTGGCAAAATAATCGAGTGCCTTGCTGAGTGGCACAGAATGATAAATCTGATAAGAATCCAAACCTGGTCATCTAAAGACACATCTGTTCAGCTGGGACAATGGCAGGAGAGCTCTGATTTCTGGAATAAAAGGGATCCACGTATGTCTCTTATTAAACGACTGCTCCAAGTGATGTTGGTTTTAACTGTGCCACAGGTGTCTGTTCCACAGCTATCCCGGGTTTTACTGGCACTTGAAGCAAGGCACCTAATTCAGGAACACAATACATTTTTTAAAAGTAGTTTCCTTTCCCTTAAGAGTGAACTTTGCCTGCCCCATCAATTTTTCAGTGATAGAAATTTGTTGCCTAAAATAACGGTGGAGGACTTGCAGCTCGTCAGCATCACTGTCCACAGCAGAAAGGCACCATCTCCACTGCACTTCCAAACTTCAGGAAGGTGGATCTGGAAGCTGAATACTAATACGTGCCCCAAAGCTGCCAATACAGTCAGGAAGTATATTTTTAAGGGTGATGAAGCCAAGAGTTTCCTGTGCTTTTACAACAGCTGTAGCATCTTTTTAATGTCTTTTTTTTTTTCATCTTATGCAGCTCAGAACAGGGTGAGTGTAGAGGCTGGCCATGAAGCTGTGCTGAGCTGCCCCAACATCTCCAAGGTGCATTTTCTGCTGTTGACATGGAGGAGGAATTGCAGCAGTTGCTGCGTGATGTCCTACAGGAGGGATCACAATGAGACAAGCAGGCTGAACTGCAGTGACAGGATCACATGGAAATATTCACTTGACAGTGACCCTGCACCTCATATTTTCCCTGTGAACCTCGGGGATGAGGGAAATTACACCTGTGAAGCTGTCAACAGTGAAGGGAATTTTCTTTCTTTCTCTTCTCTGACTGTGCTAGGTAAGACTGCATCACTAAAATAAAAATTAAATTAGTCTATTTGTAACATAGGCAGGAGCAAAGGAATATTAGGAAGCATAATGAATACATCAAATCACCTTTCTCATATAGTCAGGTAAACTATATCTAGGTCTCCATAAATTAAAAAAAAAATACAGGAAGACTTTTTGTTTTGGCTATATTGGTTAAATCATCTCAATATAACTAAAAATTATAAGAAACAGATTTTCAATTCTATGATTGCCATTACTAATTTTAGTAACTTGATTTTTTTGTTTGTTTGTTTTTTGTTTGGATTCTTTTATTAGTTTGTTTTGGGTTTGGGTTTTGTTATTTTTTGTTGTTGTTCCCTGCAGAATGTTGCCTTTCTGATAAAGACGTAGGTGTTGTGCGAGCCTTTCCCTGCTTTGCCAAATGCAGAATATGAGCTGTTGGACTTCAAGCAGAACAGTTTTGTTCAATTCCTTTTATATTTCCCTACTATCAGATTTTTGATTCTACATATTCAAACTCCTAAATATTGTACCTGAGACTTCAACAATCTGCCTCTTCATCAGTCAAATTGCAAATCTTTATTTAACCCACCCTTCTCTGTCATCCCATCTCCTGTTAATTTGTCATTACCTTTGGGAAACAGGCAGAAGCAGTATTTTAGATGTAGCCAGCTAGTTTTTGAGGTGTCCACCTTGGACTTTTTGATGTATTGTTTTTCTTTAAAGATGTGCTAATATTTCAAATTATTTTAAAATCTCACTAGTTGGTTATACAATCTAAAAAATACTACCTGTTTGTCAGTTTCTCAGTTGGTGATTTTATACTAGAAATGAAGTAGAAATATAAAATACGAATAGAAATCATAGTTGTGGCTTTTAAAAATTTCTTCTGCAGTCCCTCCTACAGTGACTCTGGCCCATGACAAGACCAGGGTGGCTGTCTGTCAGGCATCTGCAGGAAAGCCACCTGCTGACATCTCCTGGATCCCTGCAAGCAATCACAGCTCTGAGGAAGAATTCCATCACCCCAATGGAACAGTCACCAGAGTGAGCTACTTTGGCTGGACCAACAGCTCATTGCCTTCTGTCACCTGCCTGGTGACTCACCCAGCCATGAACCAGACTCTGGTCGTGGACCTGAGATGTAAATAATGTTATTTTGTGATTTTCATCATGCTTTGGGCTCCTCTCTGCTGTTCTGTGAAGCTGTTCCCACTAAATGCCAGGGCCTTGGAACTAGGTTAGCAGGGTTATAAGGTGAAGTCCTAGTGCATATTGAGAGAGAAATTAATAATTTTGAAACCAAATGCTTTGTGGAACTTTATGGAGACGCTTTCAGCATGTTTTTCTTTCAATTCCTGTTCTGTTTTACAAGAATTCCTTATTCTGCTTTCAGTGGGTTCACCTTGGCTGGCTGCCAGGTGCCCCCAGGCTGATCTATTGCTCCCCCCTCTTCAACAAGGCATAGGGAAAAAGACAATGGACAGATTGTGGTCAAGGTGAAGACAGGGAGAGATCATTCATCAGTTTCTGAAACTGGCAAAAGAGACTTGAGAGAAAATAATTTCTTGCCAGTCAAATCAGAGAAGGATAGCTAGAAACAAGAAAGAAGCTAAAAGCACCTTCCCCACAATATTATGTCCAGCTTTTCCACAGTAGTGATGGTCTGGAGAAAATTTCCTTGGAACATGTCTGTCTGTGACTTGCAAATGTTCCAAAGGTAGTAAAAGTTAAAATTCAGCTTCTCCTCTGGCTGTGTTGGACCTGTTGGAAATCTATCGCAGTAGGATTTGTAAGAACAGCTAAATAAGTGCTCATATTCCCAAAATATCTCAGTAAAGGCATGAAGAACAGGAAGCAGTGTAGGGATGGCTGCTCAGTTTTGTTGTTCAGAGCTAATAGTACTTGAAGAAAAGGGGAGTGTAAAGGCAGATGAGTTGAAAATGAAAATGTGTTTGTACACACACAAATGACTGGGGGTGTGAGGCAGCTTCTTATTGCTGGTTGGCATCCAGACAACTCATCTGTTTCTCTCTGTTTGAAAGCAGAGGATTAGCTTTTTCCTCCAGTTAAGGTAGGCAGTTATGTCACAAATTCATGGATACTGACATCTAACTCTGTAACTTGCTCTCTTTTCTCATTGCTCAGACACTCCTCATATGCTTCTCTACATCCTGATAGGAGCAGCTGCAAGTGTCGGGGCTGTCACTGGTGTGACTTTATGCTTGATTTTCAGGTGCAGAGGTGAGTCCTTTAAACCTGAAATACATTACAATCCCACAGCTGAATATGTGCAGGTACAAGGACATGCACTGTATTGCTGAGACTGAGGTGGAAGGCAAGGGTTGAGGAAAATGTGCATATATGCATTGTCCTTTTGGAGAAATCATAAAATAAAGGGGTGGCAATTTAAAATAAATCTGGAGTTTGGAAAGAGCCATAGGTATTGTGGTATTAAGGCATTATAGACATATCAGAGATTCATTCAGGGGGAAAAGTGTTCTTTCTGAGAATAGGGCAGGCTTTGAGTTTTTAGAATTATTTTGTTTGTTCTGCATTTACTGGCACAAAATTCTATACTTAAGAATGACAGTTCATAAACTAAACACAAACAATCTGTTTCCATGAGCAGTGAAAAGTTTTCCCTTGAGCAAGTGTAAGAATAGCTCAAATGTACATACTTTGATATCTTTCAGATAATTGTGCATTGGGCATATTAGATAGCTGATTTGTTTCATTTCTCATACTAAATGTAAAAAATGAACTCTACCCCAGTAGGAACCAGGACACCTAGCATGACCAAAAGTTTAAAGCAGGGAAAGATAAAACAAGAGTGTGTTAAAGAGCAAGATGTAAACCAATAAGAACTTAACATGTGAGATAACTGTATTTTGAGGAAAGGCTTTTAAGAGCTGGGGGCAGCTGGAGAAGAACCCCAGATCTAAAGTATTCTAACTTCCTGAAATCCTACTTTCAGCTTGCTGTTTATGCAAATGGACAAGGCAGAGCAGGACAGTAAGTGAGGTTTGTGCGTGCGTGTGCTTTGCAGGTTTTGGTGTATTCTTCACTAAAACTTTTAATTTCTTTGCAATGTGTCTACTCTGACAAACTTCCCATTTTCCTCTGTGAGCTCTTGGAGAGGGGAATGAGGAACACATCATCTGTGAGAATGTCTGTTGTTTGGGTGGCCCTATCGTCATGTATAATCAGAGTATTTGAGAAATTGTTTAAGCACTGGATAGAGAGTGGTGTAGTGCATTTCCTGTCTATAAGTTACATTTGCAATGCTGAATTTTAACTCTCTCAAAACTTAATATTTTCATATTTCTGCTTCAAAGAATAGTCTTTACTCAGATGTTTTATTTAAGAATGTGTATTCTTAATGGCAGAAGCCTGCCTGATTAAAGACTGGATGGAACCAGACATGCCTTTTACAAAGAGGGAAAAAGGTCCCCTTTGTTTTGCTGTATTGGAGACAAACACAGCTGTGAAATTTTTATTTTTTACATGGCAGTTCATATACTTGTAGCCAGGAAACAGCAGTGATAAATCTGCCACCACAACTTTTACTTACTGTCTAATTCCAGTATGTTGTGATATATGCTTAACAAAATGAAAATGTGCTGCTTTTCCTCAGGGTTTCTGCCACACTTAATGCACATGGATAGACCAATTATTTCCTATTTTGGTTTTTGCTCATGATTTAATTAATGGTTGTGTGCCTTGTTTGTTGCAAACAAGTCAGAGTGCTCTGAAGTTAGGATGCTGCATTTCCTGTTATGCTCTTGTGTGGCATTCAGGACAATCTCACTGATGAGAGGGGGAGTTGCAGAGATCAAGGGCTTCCAATGATTTTAGCTGCCGAAATTGGATTGTTTGTGGTCTGTCTATTTTGCTTTTGTTTTTGTTTTGTTTTGGTGTTTTGTTTTCAGAGAAGCTAGCATTGTTCATTTGCATCTATTTTGCTGTAGATACCAGCATTTCAAAATTTATTTTCGATCATATTAAGAAAAAAAATTTCAAAGGCTGTCCTGTCGAGGCTTTGTGAAGGCTGTTCTTGTATCTGTCTCCCAGTTCACGTTTCACTCTCTGTGCTCTACCCTTTTTCTCAGAGGAATCACATTTCTTTTGCCACAGTAATGTTACCTACCAGATTTCTTCTGCTCTTGCTTTTTCTTTGGGATCTATAGGAACAACGGTCCCACAAAACTCTACAATGTAATACAATGGTACATGTTTTTCTTCCTGTTGCAGACTAAAATCTACAATTTCCCACCTTCACGTGTGACAAGACGAGCAGCCAAGCCTCCTGACATTCCAGAGAAAATCTATGAGAATTACAGCCCAAGATCTGTTTATGTGTGCTTATAACAGTGTAGGCACAAGTAGCCAGCTCAGCTACTCGAACTTGTATTTCAACTCTTAAGCCTCAGACCTTACCCACAAAAGCCTTTGTCTTTCCTGACCTGACAGTGGTGGGGTAAAAAGGACTGTTTAATAAGTTTTTTTCTCTTCCTCTAAATATCAGTACAACTCTAGAAAAAGTTGAAACTTTTAAAGACTGAATTAGGGAAATACCTTAATTTTGTTTGAAAGTGACTGTGGTGTATGTGCTGCTTTTCCTCAAAAAAAAAAAAAAAAAAAAAAAAAAAGAAAAAAGGACATATTTCTGTACATATTTCTGTGCCAGAGTAAAAAACTGCTGGTGAAAATATAGCACTTTTCTTTCCATTTTGGCAACTGCATTCTATTTAAAGTTCTGTGTTGGAAACCGGAAAGTGACAGGGACCTCAAAACACAGAAGGTCAAAGCAATACATCTAACAGAAATACAAAAATAGAAGAGTTTTAGGGTTTTTTTGTTGTTTTGTTTTCTGGGTAGATGGTTGCACAAGACAGATGATGAGCTAGTATTTGACATTTTTTTTATTTTTGAATTTTTAATGTATTTCTTTTTCAATTAATCTTTCTGTTTGCATTGGTAATTGATGGAAAATAAAACCAACTTGATATTACACTGAATATGGAAATGAGAAACATCAATGGACAGTTTTTGGTCACTCTTTAAAGTAAAAGTGCAAATATGCAGATATTTATCTGAAGGATTCCTGTTGTTATTTGGGTAAATATTTGTTGGGTAAATTGTTTGCTCCTAGTTTCTGAGGAGCTGAGGTCACAGCATGGTTTTACTGAGAACAAAAACATTGAAGTCATATAAAGTGCAGGTGGTGTGCTTGTTTAAAATTAAAGAAAAAACCACAACCCTAACCACACCATTTATTTCTTCTCATCTTCATGTCCCCAAGCTAAAAAAAGCCTCCACAGACTGATTGTTAATTTCAGTTTTCATTGGTCGGGTCTGTCAGACCTTCCAAACACTATTGCACCAGTAACTACACTGTGGGGAGGGAGAAGCACTTTGCATGTGTAAAACCTCTGGGAGAAATATGTGGCAGCTTGGAAGTAGTGCAAATAGGTTTGAAATGATGCTAGATAGGACAAGTGTTTTGTAGCTCCGGTGAAATCCACAGCAGTGCCTTAGTCCAAGGTGCTGTTGAGGTGCCACTTGTGACTTGAAGCTTCTGAAATAGAGGGAAGATCTCTTGTTGCTTAAGGAACTGCCCAGTCAGGTCTAAACTTGGGTTCCTGGGCTGGTATTTCTTAGTGTGGCAAGCGAGCATGGATTGTTTTTATGGACAGCTACAGCAATCTGTGCCTTTTTCAGAAGCTGGATCATTGCAGCCAGACTGAAGGATGGCAGGGCTGTTAAAATTAGGACACTTAGGCTGTGGAGCAGTCTGCTTCTGGGAATCACAGTGCATGTGTGCTGTGATTGTTAGGGTGTTATGTAAGATCTTTTCTTAATTCCTTTGCAACAAGTGAAATGTGGAAGGATGAGATCTAATGGAGACAGAAAAGATAGAACCTAGACAGGGAGATATGGTGTGTGGAGGGAAAGCTCTCTGAAGCGATCTGTGACAATTTGTCCTGGCTGAAAACGATGGTTTTCAAGCTCATAACTTTTATTTTCACCTTTAATTTGTGTTTGGTGGAATTGGTCCAGTCACCTGCAATGTGTCAGCACTTCCATTAACGTAAGAACTCTGAGCAGACTTAACACTGGAACAAGGTGTTCTGGCAATGCCATGGGCTGTCCTGGAATAACATTGGCATTATGCTTTTTAGGCTTGGTGTGCATGATTAATAAAAGTTATCAGGCCAAAGAGAATAATGTGGCTGCGGGGGTGGTTGTAAGAAAGGCTGGGACATCAATAAAGCTTCTATAGGTACTTTGAGTGTTGGCTGTGACTGGTGAAGGGCAGGGTTTTGTCATGTGGAGCTCCTGGCAGGGGCTTTGGTGGCTTCTCTCTGCCTGCCATGACCAGAGCTGTGTGTGCCCTGCTTCTTGGGCTGACGAGCTCATCTCTTGAGTATTTGAGAATGAGAGATAAATCACTCAAATATTTTCTGTTGTGCTGTTTTTGTATGGAATAGGCAGCTTGGTGTGACCCAAATAATAATTCAAATTGTGTATTTGGTGTCTTATAACAATCTGGTCTCACAAATAAGCAACTTGAATTTTTATTTTTTTAATGAGTATATTCATCATGATTTCCCCCTCACTTAATTATAAGTACACTTTTGGTGACCCTATATTTTTTCTATTTGCATTGACAGAAAATTTAATCAAGGCAGTTATTCTAGACTGCCAAAATGTGTAGGAAAATGCTGACTGTTTGTTGAATAATGATTGTGAGAGAGCTACTAAAAAGTGATGGGAATTGGAGTGAACTATTTGCACATTGTCACAAGAAAAAGATTTTTTTAAAAAGCCTGGGAGCATGACAATGCTGTTTCAGATTAACTATTAGTCAAATGCACAGTTGACCGAATGTAACTTGAGCTTTTTAGCACCAGATGTGATTATAGATGAAAATGCTCCTGTTTATTGTGTGGATTTTCACTCACATTGTTCATAGGACACTCTTTGTAATAATGATGATGTCTGCTTTTTGATTAATCTATGAACAATTTGTCTTCTGGAAATATCAGGTGTTGTGATGCCTCTTTCTCTTCACTGAATATGGAAAAAAATGGTGACAAAGCGTTATGTTTAGAGCCTCATAAACTGGAATGTGACTTCATATTATGAACAATATTTGTTTAAAATCACATATTTCAACACCAGGATTAAAATGAAAGTAAACAATTTTCCTACAGACTCTGGAAATGGAGCAGATGTCCAAAGGGTATTTGCCAGTTCAGTGAAGAGCTCAGGGTTCCTAAGTTTGAAGTTTTATCTAACCTTCCTGGCATCAATTTGTCACAGCTTTTCTTCTGTGATGACAAAAAAATGCTTTCCTTGGTTCTCCTCTAGTAACTGTAACACCTGTGATGTCTTTGTGACCTGGTCTTTCCAACTCTGTGATCTTTGCTGTTAATGATAACTTGTCAGCTCCTTGATTTTGTGTCCATAATCTGTATACACCTATCATATGCTGGAGGCAGTGAAGAACTCAGGAATTAACCGAGTGGGACTTATTCTACATTTCCTATCACTTCTCTGTCATGTCATAGTTTGTACTTTTGCTCTTAATGGTGCTTCTTTAAGCAAGTGCCCACTCTTCTCTTTTTCCTCCCCAATCTTTACATGCACTAGTTTTCTCAGTTTATTGATTTTTATGTCCTCTAAGTATTTTATTATCCAGTTTTATTTCTTTCTCTTTTTGGCATCAAATACAATTTTATTCTTCATTCATTTGTTGCTTTTTTATGTGTGTAACAAGAGGTTTCAAATAGTGACTTGTTTTGGAATCTTTTAGTGCTTTCCACTGAACTTCTCCATAGAGACATATTTACTCCAGGTCTCTTTCACTTTTTAATTTTTTCCCCAATGCATAAGGGAAGTTAATCACTTTTGATGAGGAACATCTATTCTTAGACTTCTGTGAATCTAAGCTCACTTAGCAAATCCAAATGCATAATATGCAGTATTTTATTTGTTCTTGGCTGACATATTTCTTACAGAATCATAGAATTGTTAAGGTTGGAAATGACTTCTGAGATCATCAAGTCCAACTGTTAACCCAGCACCATCGTACTACTAAACTGTGTTCCTCTGTGACACATTTACACGTTTTTGGACACATCCAGGGATGGTGATTTCACCACTTCCCCAGGCAGCCTGCTACAACGCCTGACCAGCTTCTCAGTGAAGAAATTTTTTGAATATTTAATACACCCTGCAGCACCGGTGAGGAAGAGGAATGAGAAAAATGTGAGAGGAACAACTCTGCAGACACCAAGGTCAGTGGAGAAGGAGGGCAGGAGGTGCTCCAGGTGCCAAAGCTGAGATTCCCCTGCAGCCCGTGGTGAGACCATGGTGGGTCAGTTGTGCCCCAGCAGCCCATGGGGGTCCATGGAGGAGCAGATCTCCACCTGCAGCTCATGAGGATCTCATCCTGGAGTACACTTTGGCAGGAGCTGTGATCCTGGAGATGGATCCATGCAGGAGGGAGTTTTTCTGGCAGAAACCACACTGGAAGAGTCTGCTCCTGAAGGACTGCATCTCATGGAAAGGACCCATGCTGGAGCAGTCCATGCAGAACTGCAGCCTATGTGAAGGACCCACATTGCAGCAGTTCCTGAAGGACTCTATCCCATGGTAAGGAACTTGCTGGAACAGAGGGACTGTGTGAAGAAGGAGTGGTGGAGGTGATCTGAACTGGCTCCCAAACCCCATTCCCCACCCGGCTGCACTGCTGGGGCTGGGGAATATGAGGTAAATCTGTGAAGAAGAGGGAGTGAGAGCAAAGATGGTTTCAATATTATTTATTATTTCTCATTATTCTACTCTGTTATTAATTGCTAAATGAAATTAACTTCCCCAAGCCAAGTCTGCTTTGCCCATGACACTGATCAGTGATGTCCCTGTTCTTATCTTGACCTATGAACTTCTCCATCATATTTTCTCCCCCTGTTGTGCTGGGGAGGGGGAGTGAGAGAGTGTCTGGCTGGGCACTGTCAGGTGGTAGCCAGCCAAGGTCAATGCACCCAGGCAAAGCTTAGTCACCAGCAGAGCTATAATAGGAGAGAGGATGCTGTAAACATCGGATTCTACATTATTAAGGCATTTTTATGCCGATGGTCCCTCTCTAGGTCTTCTGACTTTAATCTCATCACTGTGTACTGAGCTCTGAAAATTTCATTTCCAACTCATTCCATTCTCTCAGCTGTCAATAAGTACTGCTGAGCAAACAAGGCTAAGTGCTTTTGGGATTGATTTTTGTCTCACTTCTGCCACAGTCCAACAGCGTTTATATTGTCATATCATAATGTTCGTATCTAGCTGTGCTTATATTGTAGATTTCCATGTGTACATCTGAAAAAGAAACCATGGACAACCCCCCTGAAATAGTTTCTGTGTTAGATTTATGATCTCTGAAGAGTACGACCCCCTCTTCTGTGCAAAACATGCAGCCACATGTGGCAGAACAACGTACTTAGCACATGAATGTCCTGTAACTCACTTCATCTTGTGTGAGAGGAGTGCTGTGTGGAATAAAAAGATGAGTGAGCCAGCTACTGAAAAGCTCTGGT